TTATTCCAGAAATATGGCACCTGGGCCTTGAGCTCTGGCTATTTGATGATTTTCATTACCCACCTTCCTACCAAGCCCCTTGCATCTGCTCACCTTCACTTGGATGAAGGATGAAAGCGCGGTGAATTAAAAAGAGAGAACAGGCTCTGGAACCAGAAGGGGTCAAACTTGGCTCTGCCATTTGCTAGTTCTGTGACCTTGATCAAGTCACTCCATTTCCTGGAGCTTCAATATTCTCCCTTGAAAACCAGGATGATGGGCCCTTCACTGCAGCACTGACGAGAAGGGCCCAACATAGCACTGATACCTATTTGGATTTAACAGCCCAAATTCTGTTGATTGAATAATGTCTTCATTCAAGGGCTAACTCAGAACCTTGGCCCTCATAAGTGAGGACCAAGGTTTCCAGTTTCCTGTTCCAAAAAACATTGAACACTTTCATTTATTTTGAGTTTCCTGTATTGGTTGAACTTAACAGTTGAGATATATATATATCTGAAAATGAGTGTCAGAGACGGTCTGAAATGAATGTGTTCAATGCTAGTTGAAAATATATAGCTTTATTTGTATTCACATTTTTCATCTTAACATGATTGTGGGCCTCTAGCAGTCAGGGGCCAAATATCATTTCTTTTGGGAATCTTCCCTCTCACGCCCAATTTCAGTTCCTGCTCACTCCTGGGCACCAGTAGATACTAAACAAATAGTTGGGCTTGTTTAGTGAAAGGGAATAAAGCTGATTCCATACTGCGAGAAAGAATACTGGACTCATTTGTTCCATAGCAGTGTAATTCCTGGATAGCAGAAGAATGGAAAAAATCGCCTACCAACCATTAAGTTTGGCGTCCTTTGCTAGAAGGGTTTTAGGATTCACTGGACCCTTCCGGGAAAGTGTGCATCTGGCATGCTCAGAAATGAGTGCTTCTTAGGCCCGCAGCAGTCAGGAGGTTAAAGCATTCTTCCAGCCAAGGGGGTTTCCAGAGATGGACAGAGTGAGGCTTGAGCATCTGTCTCCTTCCTCTTTCTCCCTCTCTTCTTTTAAATTATTTCTGTCCGAAATGGTTATCACAGTTAATACCTAATGTAGAATTTTGGAAAAGTCAGAAATGCGTGAAGAAGCTGGCGATAAGCTTCACCCATAATCTCACCACCCAGAGGCGCGAGCTTTCTCTTTATCTGAAAAGACCAGGCAGGGTGTGGTACAGTCCCTTATTCAACGGTCTCTATTTACCCTGCAAAGTCACAGCAGCAAGGCTGTGACCGGGTCTTCCCTCACGTTCGGAAGTCTCATTCAGGGATCGGTGAGTCTAGGCTCTGACTTACAGGGTTGAACTTAGAGCAAATGCTGTGCTGTCCTTCTCCAGGACTCGGGCCTGGAGCTTTCCCAGGCTGGCACCACCATGGGGCACAGCTGTGCATAGGGCCGTGGTGGGAACAGCTGGGAAATGACAACGTGCAGCATCTTTCCACTTAGGACTCAGGGAGCCAGGTGATACAGACTCTCTGCTCTTGTCTGGAAACTGCCCACTGAAGTGGCAGGAGACAAGCATCTGCCTCTCCTCGTCGTGCAGGGAGCTTAAAAAGATTTTTCTAAAAAGTCAGACAACTTGAGCATCTGTTACTCCCCTTCTAGACCTTTTGTTTATTTCACAGCTGCAAGGAACAACCCATTGAATGCGATTTCGTACTCCAGTGATTCCATATACCTGGTCTTCAGTGGGACAGGGAAGAAAACAGCCTGTGACAGGGAGTGTCTCTCATGATTTGCAATCCCCAGCTGCTCTCTAGGACCATGAATCCTAAGCTGAGTCTTTACTGAGTAGGTCAAGAGTGTGAGAACGCAAAATGGAGGTGTGAAAGGGGGTTCCAGGGATCCCCTGAGCAAAGAGCAGAGGTTCTTGGAGTGAGTTGAAGGAAGAAGGCACAGAAAAGAGTGCCCCAGGCTGAGACCAGCATGGACCATCCTTGAGGTGGGAACCAGTCTGGTGCCTGCCAGGTGCTGGCAACAGCCCCAGAGCACCAAAGATAGGAGGGAGGGTGGAGGCGGGCACGGAGAGGCCCATGGGGCTTTGTGTGCCATCTAAGAGAGTGGACTTCATTCTACAAGGTGGCAGTCCTCAAGAGGCAGCGGGTAGTTAGAGCAAGAAAGGCAAGGCTCCCTATTCCTTGGTTGGGATGGGTGGGTTTGAATTTCCAACACGGAGCGTGTGTTTAGTTTGAAAAGCAAATTCAGAATTAAAATTTTTAAATTTGATCAATGTAAAAAGAATACCTATCACTTTTGTGTTACAATCTAAATTTGGCCAGATTTTGTCTAGAGGAGCAGAATTCGAAAAAGAAAAAGGTGAGGGAACACTGCCCCAGGTGATGGGAGCCACTGATAGGTTTTCAGTAGGAAAGTGACAGGCACGGGCCAGATTTGCATTTTTAGAGCAGAGACTCTGGCTACTGACTGGGTAGGGGTATGAGAGAGGAAAGACTGAGCAGAGACGATGAAAGGGATGGAGAGATGTGGGTTTGATTCAGGGCGTAGTGCTCTGAATAAAGAGATATTTAGGACATAACACCAGAGAACTTGGTGACAAAGTAGGTGTACAGGACAAGAAGAGGGATGGGTCAAGGCTGCTTTTTGGGACCCTTGATGAGGTGGCTGGCTGTGGGTTGGGGGGCAGGGAGGAGAGGCTGGCTGGAGGAGGGAGGCTCTGGTGCAGGGTTGGCTAGAGTAATGGTCTGTTTGGTTGGTAGATTTCAAGATGGCCATGGGACATCTGGGTGGACAAAGGCCTCTGGGTGCCTGTGACTTGTCCAGGTTCACAGTCTAGTGGATGGCCAACTAGAATTAGAATCCCATATCCTAACTCTTCCACCTCCCAGCCCAGCTTGACTGTACCCTGAGAGCGGGGAGCAGGTGGCCTGAGGTACCATGCCTCCTAGGAGGTGTCAGGCACCCTACGTGTTGATGCTGCTGTTCTCATTATATGGGCACCCACCCCTTGCTTCCAAGATCTTTCCACAGGGCCTGGGTAGCTGGCTGGAAGCTAGGGCAAGCTAGGAGAAAATGAAGGCTCAGAGGATTGACAGGCCAGGGTCCCCAGAGGCCCATGCAGAATGGCAGCCTTGCCCAAGGTGCTGGACCCTCCTGAAAGGGCCTGGCATCAGGCCTCTTTCTCTTCCTTTTCCCTAATTAAGACTTGCTGATCCTGCACCTGTCCTGACTCTGCTCACCTGACTCTGCAATTAGAAATTTGACAGTTTTAGTACCACAGGTACTAAATAACAAATAACAAATTTTTGTTTACAAATAACAAATTTGTAACAGGTACTAAATAACAAATAACAAATTTTTGTTTTACAAATAACAAATTTGTCTACAACACCTCTCATAGCTATTTTTATTTTAATCAGGGGATAATCCCGGAAATCAAGGAATGGAGCCCTAATAGTGGAATTTCGACACTGATGGAATTGGGGATGGGAATTATTATGTATAGTATATACTTTACTTATCTGGGGCCAGATGTCTGCCTTCTTACATGAATGGCACAGGTCCCTTCTGGGTGCGAAGGATTAATTCTCTCAGTGAACACGAGAAATAGCTCAGATTCTGACATTTCAAACCTTAGCAGGTTTTGGGCATGGGGCAACCTCACACTTCTGTGGCAGGGGCTGCTGGGGAAGGCGAGGAAACTGGTGCTTCAGGTAAGAGAGCTTACCTGACTGCTGGGTTGGTCTTGAGGGAGGGTCAGTGGCACGTCAGCAAACCCCGCTCTGGAGCCAGTTGGTCCTGGAGGGGTGGGCTCCCATGTGGTGGGCATTGGACAGAAGCAGCATCAAGTGGTGGCTGTGACCTTGTTCTGTTCTAGCTAAAAATAAAACCAATGGAAGAAGAGTCACAGCTGGCAGCTGAAATGCGGAGCAAAGAGAATAGCTTTTGGAGATTTCTATCTAGAGTCTCGAACTGGAGGCATAAGCATCAGGACTGGGCTCAGGGGCCATGTAGGCACTGATATGCCGAGCCCCGGGTGTCCTGGTGTCCTGGACTCCCTCAGGCATACCATACCTACCGAGACACATTCTCCTTGCCCTCATTGGTGAGATAAGACTTCCCAGATGCTCTGTTCTAGGCAGCACCAAGTCAGAGATAGAGCAGAGCTGGCTGGTGAGGCAGGACATGCAGGGCCTGGGCCCCAGAGCCATGGTGGGGGTGGGAGTGGGGTTGGGGATGCTGCTGGCTCTGGATGAGACAAGCATCTCTGGATCTCCAAGGGGAAACGGATAACTATCACTTGCCTATTAAAAAAATTTTTTTTCAATGACTAACCCTTTGAAGACCTTGATCCCTAATATTTTTTGGAGTAGTAACTCGCCCTCGTTTGTGAGATATCAAAAACTTTATATTCCTCCTTCAGGAATACTTTATGACCTGTTACCCAGGTATTTGCTGGTATTTCTTCCCTTGAACTCTGAATGAAAACATCTTGAATCCAACAATTCTTGGCCCGGGAAACTCCCAAATCCTCCCACTGGCCTGGAGTGTGATGTTCTTCGGGCTTCTTCTGTCTCTTGGGCTGCATCCAAAAATCACTCACACCACATCTGTGAGTTTAGTAGCTGTTAGTGAAGTGCTTTCAGGTGGGGGTGTGTGTGAAAAAGGCGTCAAATCCCTTCCGGTCCAGCAGCTCCTGGCCCCCCGGGCTCACTTTCTGCTCCCTCCGCCAAGCAGAGCAGCCTCCCTCCTCTGCACCTTGCTAACACTCAGCAAAGGGATTTTCCAATTCCTCTCTTTGAAAGGAATTTTGATCCCAATCGTAAAGACAATAAGGCTTTTTTTTTACCTTTTTCTAGACATCATTTGCTTTTAAAATAAAAATCCATTTAGTTTTTAAGAATTTCCCAGAAGTCTTTGAAATAAATTGGCACTTAATGGTACTGTGAAAACGATGCAGGAGTCATGCTGATGCAGACAAGACCCTGATATTTGTCATGTTTTTGTTTTCCAGTTTCCACCTGGATGTTTGATGTCCTGTAGATGTGGACAGTGTGCCTGAGAGCAGAGCAGGGAGCACAAGCTGAACGCTAAGAGGCAACCTGAGACAAGGCCGGTCCGGACTCCTGGTAATTCATTGGTAGTTTTTGGTGGCGATGGGGGTGGGGCACGCTTTTTGGTTGGGTCCATCTCACCAGTACGAGCTTCTGAACACTCAGGTCATCTCCTGAACTCCCCCAGTCCTGCTCACTCACGTGCTACCATGGAATCTGAAGGATGTTGGAAGTCACTAGTCCAACCCTCCAGCCTAGGCAGAAGCCCCTCTACAGCTTCCATAGTCACTCTGATGCTGAGGAGAGAGCTCACCACCCAGAAGGCAGCCTGTCCCACCTTCCTGTTACTGAGTAGCTCTTGCTGGTGGAAAGTTCTCCCTTGTACCCTCAGTAGGATCTACCTGCCTGCAGCAACCACTCGCTTTCCTGGTTCTGGCTCCTGAGGCTCTAAGGAATCAGCCTAATCTCTCTACCACATGGCAGCCCAACATATATTTGGGGACAACTGGAGTGGAGGAATGCAGGATCTAGGGCCAGAGACAGTCCTGGTTGAAATCCCAACTCCAGTGTTATCTGTGTTATCTTGGACAAGTTAGTTAATCTCTCTGATTCAGTTTCTTTATCGGTAAAACTGGGACAATGATGTCTGCCTCACAGAGTAGTCTTGGGAATGAAAATAAATCATGAATAGAAGTTGCCTGGTGCCATTTTATCACTAATTCTCTGACACCAACTAGATGTCCCACAACTCAGCTCCGTTCTGACATTACCCGAAGTCGAATGGCACACAGATTAACCACCACAAGTTGCAGGCAAGGTTGCCTACAAAGTTGCCCTCACTTTAGAGACTAGCTAGAGTGGGGTCCCCAGGCCACCCACACTTCTGACTGATTAAGATATAAATTCTGGGGTTCCCATGTTTCCTCTTCAGTTTCTATAATTCAATAGAACTCACTGAAGGCAATGTAATTGCAATTACAGTTTTATTATAAAGGATCCAACTCAAGAACAGCCAACTGGAAGCAATGCATAAAGCAGGGTCCTGGGGGAGGGGTGGGGATGAGGGTGGGGGGAGTTGTGCAGAGTTTCAGCACCCTCTCCTTGTGGAATCCAGGTGTGTCGCCATCCCAGCTCAGCCAGCTGGAAGCTCCTCCAAGCTTTGGTGTTCAGAGATTTTTAATGGGGCAGCATATTGACAGGGAAGGGGCTTTATTACTAGGCATAATTGTTTAAATCATTTGTCATTTGATTGAACTCACTTTCCAGCCTCTCCCCCTCCCTTCCTCCATGGTTAGGAGTGGGGCTGAAGTTGCAACCCTCTGATCAAGTGCTTGGCCTTTCTTGGTGGAAACTATGTGAGGGTCCACCGTAAGTCATCTCATTAGCATCAGCTCAGGTTTGGTGAAAGGGGCTCATTATGAATAACAGAAGACAGTCCCAATGTCCTTTGGATATTTTAGAAATCCCAAGGTTGTTTGAAGCTCTGTACTAGGAACTGGGACAAAGACCAGATACCCTCTTTATGATGTCACACCTGTGCAACAAATGCTAACCTCCTCTGGTCTTCAGCATCCTGCTAACCCTCTTTTTTATGATCTCCAGGTTAACATGTTCCTCCTATCTGGTCAAAGAACTAGGCGTTATCATCAGTATTTTCCTAGATGTTCTTCTTTTTGTTCATATAGCTCAAGATTGAATTAGTTTTTGGACTAAAACATATAATTACAGTTATTTAGTGTGCACCTGTTTACAGTTGAATCATATGCCTCTCATTACTCAAGTTCCTAATGCTATGATGATTCTAGCTGCTAAACGACAAATAATAATAGCAAATGCTTAATAGCACTTGCTATGCACCAGGCACTGTTTTAAGTATGTACTTCACATACATGAACTCATTTAATCCTGACAACAATCTAAGAGGTAAATATAATCCTCATTTTATATGCGGGGAAGCTGAGGCACAGAGAGTTTAGGTAACTTGCCCAAGATCACATAGCTAATAAGTGGCATAGCTGAGATTTGAACTCATTGTCTTGTTCCAGAGTCCATGCTTTTGCCACTAAGCCATGCTGCACACAGCTTTGATCACCTATGAAACATTTTGAGAAGGGAAGGAAGGAGCACAAAAGGATGCCTCTGGTTCACCAAAGCCAAAGGGTTTGAGCAGGTGAGGGAGTCAGAGCTTCCATTTCTTTCCAATTCCTCTGCCTCCGGAGCAGCCCTCTGGGGCTGGGCTCTAACAAGTGAAGGCAGGCCTAGGGGCATAGTGGTGTGGGCACCTGTCCATCAGGCCCAGAACGTCTTAATTCTTGGCGCTTCAGGAAGGGGAGAGCTACTTCAGAGCCTTCATAGACTCATTCCTGGGAAATGCAGCCACTCCAAGGGGAGAGGGAGAAGATAAGACTTTTCCCGTCTAGATGGGAAGGATTTAGGCCAGGAAGGCTCAGTACTGGGCTGGGCTGGTCAAAATCCTAGTCCAGAGAAGCTCAGGTTCAAGTGGTTCTGGAGCTGGTGGGACCTGGATCTGTAAAGAACTCAGGAATCCAATGCATTCATTGTGGGAGATGGGGTGTTGCTTGTTGCTAGTTACAAGGATCTGGGGCAGTGAAAATGCCAAAGAGATTTAAAAGGGGTGGAGTGCAGTGGGCGATGCCTCTGGAAGAATTTTGGTCTGTAGGGCTGACTGCCCAGAAGGATTGGGTGGTGACTGCATTTGTACATGGTTCCGATGCAGTCTCATTGTGTTGAACTTTGCAATCTCTTCTACTCCCCAACTTCCAGGGAGGGTGGGTGGGAGCATGATGGAGGCGAAGGATTCGTAACTCACACTATTACGTGGGATTGACTTGAACCCACAAGGCAGCTGTCGGTAGGTCATGTGTGTTCTTTGCAGATGTTTTCCTTTTGGCATTTGGCTTGAGGGAGAGGCAATGGGGGGACGCAAGAAGGTCTCTTGCTCCAGGAAACCTGGATCCTCCATCCTTCTGTTTTTTCTACATGAATCAGTCTCTCTCCATATAGTAACAGAGCTGGAATGGGTCCCAGAGGTTATTCTGTTCACTTCCTCATTTAGAGATGGACAAAGCGAGACCCAAAGAGGGAAATTACTTGCCAAAGTCCACACAGCTAAAGAATGACAGAATTGGGGCAAAATCAAGGCTCTTACTTCTAGTCCTGAGCTAGTTCTACCAGAAACATCCTTGATGGACTCAATCACTATTTCTTCACTTAGTTGAAGAATCTGGCTTCAAATGTTATGAAGTACAACCTCAACCATTCTAGCAACCTGGTAAATATGTTACAAAATATTTCTTTAAAGAATGTTTGTTTTGTTTGTTTTTGGCCATCACTCCCAGACTCCCTTCCCCATCCTCCCATGGACATGACTGGTAAGGATGGTGCTCTGGTGAGGGCTTTCGTAAGGAGATGACTAATTAGTAAAAGAATTAAGATCAGAGGCCATGGTTTAGTGAACTCGCATAAGTGGATTTTGGTGGTATTTGGAACACTACTGCTGTCCCAGGTCAAGTGCACGGTGGCAGGTGGTGGTTGGAGTGGGAAGAGGGGGCCTGAACAACCATGGGAAGTGGTGCCTGACACTAGCATTAGAAATACGAGGCTTTGTGCCTTCTTTGGCAGGCTTGCTTGAAATGGCTAATACCTGGACTGGACACCTTTCATTACCTGCTACAACCATTAACATCTAGCCAGTTGTAAAACCCTGTCTGCCCATTAGAATTAGCCAGGGAGTTTTAAAAAATCTTAATGTCCAGGTCACACCCCAGACTAATAACATTGAAATCTCCAGGTGATTCCAATGTGTGCCCAAGGTTAGGAGCTATTGCTTTAGGCTAAGGGTTCAGGCCATCAGCTGATTATTGAAGGACCCATCCATGTGTCGTCTCTTAGACTTGCGATTTGCCCTTCCCAAAAGGGAAACATGAAAAAAAAGAAAAAGAAAGAAAAGTCACCTTGAGTGTTCTGGATTGGATGGGGCGGACTCCCACTTCTCCTCTTACTCAGTGCATCATCCTTGCCTGCCCACTCAGAGGGACTGTCAGCTGGAGGGTAGAGTCCTGACAGAAAATGGAAGAAAGGGTCACAGACAGCTCACCGACAACAAAAATATGCTTTACTAGCTGTCTGCAAGGCCTCCTCTTTTGTAACGAGCTGCTGGCTGGAATGAAAGCTAAGCCTTGGGCTAACACGATCAGCAGAGGGAGCAGAGCAGACCAGGACCAGGGTGGCCAGGCGTGCTCTAAGAGAACAAGAGAGCTCTCTGCCTCCTCGTGGAAGGAGAGCCTTCGGAGGTAAAGTGAGGGAGAGGTAGGTAAAGTGAGGGAGAGGTGAGTTAAGGATGAAAGCCAGGTGTCCTGATCTCATGGAATGCTCTTTTGTTATTATCTCTCTACTTGTGTTTGAAAGCTAATTGTTGTCCAATCAAGACACTTGCCTTCTTTTGCTGGGAAGGGGATCAGCTAATAAGGAGAAGGCAAAAGCTCTGTAAGGCCCCCCAGGTGTTGAAGGGGCATAACCCAGATTGGAGGACCTAGCAGTGGTGACACAGAGGGGGATTGGCGTGGCCAAAGCCCCATCGCTGGGAGGTGGAGGCTGGAACTGCAGTCTGCTTCTTCAGATGTGCTTCATTATGGCCATAGAAGACATCCCTTCATTCATCATTCAGGCATTTCAAAAAGCATGCTTGAGGAAGAAAAAATCACGTCTTTTCCCCTGCCCAACTCTCCAACTATTGCTCTGGTCCTCACTTCAGGGACCAGGTCTAGATATGTGGGACTCTGGGCGGCCTGGCAATCCAACCCGGTGCCCTTCAAACAGTGTTTATTCTTTTGATATTTCTCAATATTTATTTACTTTGGTTTTGGAGAAACTAATTTTTCATCAATGAAAATTGGACACCTCTTTTAAACTTGGAATAAGAATCTGATTCTGCGTTGAGACACGTTTTACAGAAACAGATTCACCAATAATCCCTTTCCAGAGGCCAGAGAAAATTTAAAGTTGTGCAAAAAAGCACTGCCCAAAGCGTTTCCCACGTTTGAATAGTTCTCGCTCTATTTCCCGTTTTCTTTTGTGAATTTCCCACTAAATTTTTTTAGGTTTCTTAGAGGTTTTACATTTTAGATGCGATACTAATTCCCAGTAAATAGCTTTACACTGTGTAGATATAGATCACAGAAATGCTCAGAAAGGTCTGCAGGTCATGCTTGCACTGGACGACCTGTCTGCTTCAACCCGAGGGTGGCCATGGAAGCCTGGCGGTCAGGGAGGGCTGGTGGAGCCCTGACAGGTGCCATAGTTTTAGTTGGGCCGATGACGCATTAGCGCCCCCTATAGACCGGCATCAGGCGGCGCCCGGCCCTCGAACGCGCGAGCCGCTTTACACCATCCAGCGAATAGCCACAATCCCACTGTGAAGCCAACCCCTCTGCTTTGGGACTGGAGCACCCACCTGTCCGCCTCCCTCTTCCCTCCTCTGCAGGGTTACAGGAGTGCATTGCAAACCTACAAGAACAATGAGTGAGGAAACTGTCCCCGAGGCTGCCTCCCCGCCACCCCCTCAGGTGCAGCACTACTTCGACCGCTTCTCTGAGGACGACCCTGAGTACCTGCGCCTGCGCAACCGTGCGGCCGGCCTGCGGCAGGACTTCAACCTGATGGAGCAGAAGAAGCGTGTCACCATGATCCTGCAGAGCCCCGTGAGTGGGGTCTGACTCAGGCGGGGCGGGGAGGGGGCTGCACTGATTTGTCGGGGTGAACCCGAACGATAACTCCGTTTCCACTTGCTTAGGGTCCTAGCAATTTTAAGCCCACTGAAAAAGACAGGGTTCACGTGGGTGTTTGATTCTCTCTTGTCACTGGTGGATGGCGAAACCTGGTCTATGTGCAGGGGGTTTGGCTCGGGGTGGGAGGAAGTGGGTCCGAGAGACAGGCGCCTCTCCTCAGTTTCCTGGGCCCCCTCTGAGCTTCAGTTTCCAGTGTTCCCTCCTTACCAAAAGCTTTAGCAGTGAACAAATGCGTGTAAACCGGAGGCCAGCAGGGGGCTCTCTGTGGGAGGTATGGGGCTCCCCTTCCGGAACACCACAAAGAACTTGCTGTTGGGGCAATAAGGCAGGCATGCGTGGAGCAGCAGTGAAGAGAGCCTGGAACGCCCAGGAGGTGGAGGGAGTGGAAGGTTCAGGGGGTTTGGGGACAGGGGCCCGGGAAGGGAGGGTAAGTCAGGGTCACCTTACCAAGGCTCCAGGTTGGAGGTTAGTTGGTGCCCGCCTGGCAAGGACACAGAGCTTATCCTGAGGCAGCCGGTGCATTGAGGACAGAGTGTAGGCCTAATGGACCACTGAAGTAGAAGTGCGCTGCAGGCCCTTGGGCAGGGGTGGGGGTGGGAGGTGGGAAGAGCAGTGCGGACAGAGGCGGTAGAGCTGGTGGGTCCTCAGGAAACAGTCCTAAGGTCTATGGTCCTAAGGTCTGGGAAGCCCAGGGATGAAGTTGTCTTCTCCAGGTGCTTGCAGGGATGGGCTCTGCTTCAGCTCTCACGTTGGGGAGCCAGGGCATTAAGTGAGCCACGAGTGACCCTGGCTGAGGGCACACAGTGAATGCTCAGGCCTCACAGAGGAGCACTGAGGGATGAGCCTGATCCTGGTAACAGGTGACACTGTGTTGGGGAGCCCGAAGGAATATAGCAAGGTGCTAAAAGCATTGATGTGATGGCAAAAACCCCAGAGTGTGGCTAGGAGGTGTGGTAAAAGTGGCAGAGTTAGTACCAACCCAAGTGTTGGGGCCTGAAAGGATGAGTCTCTATTCTCAGTCAGGAGATGGGGATGGCAGGAGCTCAGGCTGCTACTGTCCGTTTATAAGATTCACCAACACTTAAGCAGTCTATTTCCTCCTGTGTTCTCCACTGCCACCTGGTGGTCAGGCATGCTTTATTCATAGTCTGATGGTCTGAAAAGCCAGGTAGAGGCAACCTCAGAGGTCATCAAATCCTTCTGAAAAGGAAACTGAGAACCAGAAGAGCCATAGGCATGGCTAATGGACAGGGAGGATGGCACACCTTTTCATTCAGTTCTGCTTTTTAAAACGTCTCAATTACTAAAGTGAAGTCGTGCCATGTCTGATGATAGGAGGGGCCTTGACTACCACTTAGACACAGGAAGGACCTGGAGTCTGGAGTACTTTCCATAGGGCAAAGGGAACAGGAGCCATCCTCAGCAACTCCTGTTGCTCCCCAAACAGTAGTTTAGGAAGGCTCCTAAAATCCCTGTCGAATTGCCAAAATGTCCTCTGCGGCCCAGGGATCTCAAGTGTGGCCCTGGCCTAGATGACCTAGGGGCGGGTGGGCATTGGAAAAGGGGCCCTCCATCTCCCGCATGAGAAGCACGGAAGGAACCAGCACCTCGGGGATTTCAGTCTTTTAGGGAGGAGCTGGAAGGCCTCATCCAGGAGCAGATGAAGAAGGGGAACAACTCGTCCAACATCTGGGCCCTGCGGCAGATCGCGGACTTCATGGCCAGCACCTCCCACGCAGTCTTCCCAACATCTTCCATGAGTACGTGGGGAGCTGGGGAGCTGCCAAAAGCAGAGGGTGGGGGAAAGTGGGGTGTGAAAGAGAGGAAGGAGCAGCAAGAGGCAGCTTGGTTGCCAGGCTACAGGGTGAGTGCTGCAGTTGCATTAGCAGACCTGGGGGAGCTGAGCAGCAGCCAGAGAGGTACCTGGCTCTGTTTCTAATGCTGCTGTGATTTAAAGATCCACAGGAGACTTATCCCTGATGCCCAGAAATAGTAGGTTGGGGGGTGGGGCGGTGATGGTGACTCAAGGGAGAACCTAGTTCTGGTTCTGCTGGGGGAGGGGACAGGATAACATGGCATCACTGCTCTGAGAAGCAGGGCAGCCCATAGAAGACCCCCCTTCCCCCACCCCCTTACCCACCTCATCAGTGGATCAGCATGAAGGGAAGAGTTTTGCAACTCAAGGTTCCTTACATGGCCTCTACTTGAAGGTCCAGGAGTGGAGAGTGGAAAGTGAGGATTCTGCTCCCTGATAACTCTAGCTATGGGTATAGAACTAAAGAATTTCTTTGATGCTAGCAGCATCCCTTGACTTGGGCTGCTCTCCCTTAATCCCCTGGAGCCACACCCTTGGATATGGAGTATGGGATGGGAGGAGACCACTGAAGCCAGTGTCTCTAGGCCCTGCTGGACAGACAGGCCAACTCTATAGACCAAGGCCAAGAGCAGCCAGACCTGGGCACAAACCCATCTTCCAGGGCTCTGAAGCTCTGCTCACACCTTTAAAAAACAAGCCTGGACAATTCTTCCCCTCAACAAGATGAATACAGGATTATGGTGGAAAATTAGGAAAATATTCAAGAAATAGAAATTACTATACTGTGTTCTTATAACTAAGAAACTACTGTTATCAATATTTTGATATATGTCCTTCCAACTTTTTTCTCTTAACATGTGTAGATTATGCAATATGGATCTCATTATCCATATATATTTAACAACCTTAACATGTCTTGACTAATTTTTCACATAGCAAAATAAGGTTCTATAATATAATTTTGGGTGGATGTATGCTATTCTACGGCATGGCTGAATATGCCATAGTTTAATCAGTTTCCCATTTTTTAGACTGTTAGGTTGTTTCCAATTTTTTGCTATTATAAACAAAAATGCAATGAATACCTTTGTAAATAAATCTGATTGCATCCATTACTATTTTCTTAAGATAAATTACTAGAAATAGAATTGCTAGGTTGATATATAGGCATGTTTTATAGACTTTAATGCATAATGTCAAATTATCCTGGAGAGAGATGGAACCAACGTACCTTCCCACCAGCCATGCACTAGAGTGCCCACTTTCTCCACTCTGATGTGAAATGTGTACTTCCATGTGTTTCATCCTCATGATTTGATAGGTGATCAAAGTACTTTATTTGTGTTTTAATGCGCAGTTAGTAATGAGGTTGGATGTATTTTCATATACATATTGAACACGATTTTCTTTTTGTAGTAAACTGCCTATCACATCTTTTTTCAATTTTCCTACTTGTATATTCTTTTCCAATGGATTTTCAAATCTTTATAAAGTTAAGACTACTTCTCTATTATCTTTCAAGTATATTGCAATTTTTTTCCAGTGTCTTGTTTGCCTTTTAATTGTGTTCATGATGTTTTTATCTTATAGAACTCTTTAATTTCTGCATAGTCGAATTCATTGTTATTTTCCTTTGTGTGCTTTGCTTTTGATTGCATGCTTAGAAACACCTTCCCTGTGATTTATCATCAATAATATACCTTTAATTATTAATTTGCCAAATTTTTCTCAACTATTTGTACAAGTTTATTCTTTAAAGTAATTTTATAAGTATTTTGTCAAGTGTCCTCATTTACCTCAAAAAATTCCTCTTGAGGTTTTGATTGGGATTGCATTAAACGGGTAGATTAATTTAATGGAGAATTTATAAATTTATAATTATATATTAGAATGTAAGCTCCAGAGGGGAAAGGGTGTTTGTGTGTTTTGTTCCCTGCTATATCCCAGAATAGTGTCCTGGACTTAGGAAATACAAGGTACATAAAAAATATTCATATGAATGAATTTTAAATCTTTTCAGAAGTGATGTATTTCTTTTTATTTAATTCTTTACTGTCCATCAGAAAATTAAGGAGTTATTTTCATATAGTCCCTACTAATTTCTTGTTATGTTTATCCTGGAAATTTTATGTAACTTTGTTACTTTAAATGATTCTTTCTATGTTCAATTTTCTTTCTGGTTTTTGCTGTCATCTGGGGTGATCAATGGATTTATATATATGTTTAAACTAGCCCCTTATCAAACTCTTAATTTCTAATATCTTCTCAGTTAATTCTCTTGGTTTTTGTATCTAGAAAAAACATAATCTGCACATAATTTTTCATTTTTCATTCTTTATTCCAACATTAGCTCTTTGGCTTATTTTTCCAGTTTTCTCATTGCATCTGTTAGAACTCTTAGAACAATGTTTAATAATAGATTGGAGAGTAATCATCTTGGTCTTGTTTCTGACTTTAATGGAAATTCTTTTACCATAAGAGTTAGAGGTAGTTATTCTTTTCATGTTGTGGAAATATCTTTCTATTATAGTTTGATATGCATTTTTCTCAGCAATGGATGTTGAATTTTATAAAATGCACTTTTGGGTATTTATTGATCTTTCTTCCCTTGAACTATTGATGTGATGAATTATATTAATAGATTTCTGAATATTGAACTTCTTTTCATTCCTGAAATAAATCATTCCTGGTATTGATGCATTCTTTTAAAAATACTCTTCTGTATTTGATTTGCTAGATTTTTATCAAGGATTTTTGCATCCATATTCACATCTAAGATTGGTCAGCAGTTCACTTTTTGGGAAATCTTTATTTTCTTTGCCCTAATGGAGTTTAAAGCAGATAGAAGTCTCTGTTTTTTTGGAGATTTATTATTGACTTGTAAAGCCATCTAGAACTGGAATATTTTTTATAAACATTTTTTTTTCTCAATTTCCCCTATTTTGTTGGTTCTTGAGTAAATTTTGGTCATATGTTTTATGTAAAATAATCCATTTTTTGGAGCTTTTCAAAATTATTAGAGTGATTTATAATATTATTTTTATCATTTAAACTTTCTGCTGTGGATAAATGAACTCCCACTCTCATACCTGGTGCTGTGTGTTCCCACTTTCTCTTTATTGGCTAATCCAGATGTTGGTTTATTTGTAGATCTTCTCTCAAAAGCCAGTTCTTAGATTTACATATTGCTTCTACTAATTTTCTTGTTCCCAATTCATGCTTTTGTTTTTATTTTCATTAATTCTTTTCCATAACTTTTCTTTCATTTACTTTGTTATTTATATTTTTTCTAGAAAAGAATAAAATGGATGATTTCATATTTAATTCGACAATAAAGATGTTTAAAGCTCTGAATTTTTTCTCTCTGAGTATAGGTTTGGTCTTATCCCATGAATTTTGACACATAGTATTTCCCTTATTGCTAATTTCTAGATAGGAGATTGCTATTTTGATTTTATTTTTATTCTAAGAGCTATCTGGGAGTGTATTTTCTCATTTTTAAATGGTAGAGTTTGCAGCCATTTAAAGATTTGTTGATAATGTCTAATTTTATTGCATTATGTTTGGAAAATATTTCCTATTTAATGTCTGTGTTGGGGATTTATTGAGATTTTCTTTGTGGCCTAATAATATCATTTCAAAATGATACATGGGTATCAACGCTGTATCTAGGGCATAGTATTTAATCTATATCTTCACTTATTGTTTTTGATTTTGTCAAAAGTGAGAATCGTGTTGTCTTCTACTGTATTTTACATCAGTTCATTTCTCTGTATTTCTGATAGCTTTTGCTTTGTATATCTTGATGAAATGTTATTCAAAGTGTAAATGTTCTTTATAGGTTTACCTTTAATCCATGTAAAATGGTCTGTAAAATCACTTTCTTTATCCAAAAGAATATTGTTTTCCCTGACTTCTACTTTGATAATGATATTATGATCTCTGTTTAATTTTTGTTTATATTTGCCTGGCATACTTTTGATAATTCTTGTATTTTTACCAGTTTTATGTCACTTTATTTTAGTGTTTGTTTTTTGTAACCCTCCTATAGTATTGTCTTCTGACATCTATTGCTATAGTAGAGAAATCTGAAACAACTTAATTTTTTTGTTATTTTGTAGTTAACCAAAATTTTTTTTCAGATGTATGTGGATTTTTCCTTTTATCCTTGTATTTCAGAAATATTTTCAGAAAGCATATGATTGTAGGCCTTTTATTTTCATAGACTAACCCCCCCCCCCCCCCGCCCCACTCTGCCAGAATGCAGTAAATCCTTATAATTTATAGACACAAGTCTTTTTTTTTCAGTCCAGGAATTGTTTCTGTTAGATCGATACTGATTATCTGGCTCTCTGGTCTTTGTCTTCCATATCTGTCATCTTTTCTGTCATTATTTTCATGTCTCTGTCTTTATACTCTTTCTTTTGAAAGAGAAATAGGGCTGACCAGCATTCCTGTTGCCTCACCCACCAGCATCTGTCCAGAAGACAGCTGGGTGACCAGAAGTCTGATTAGTGCGCATCCAGGACGTCTGAGTCAGGAATGTGGAGAGAGGAAGTCAAAGTGTCACTTGCTGAAGCCCAGAGAGGTTGTTCTTTGTCCAGCTCCATTTGCCTTAGAATTCATTATTTTGTTTTGTTTGCAATAGTGTGTCTTTCGGCCTTAGCTTTTGTGGGACTTGGTGAGTTTTCATCGTTTTTCTGTTTTCTGAAGTCATCTGAATAAATGGCTCAGTTAGATCTGAGTTGTAAACCTGGTGATCAGCCGTCCTAACTGTTGTGAGACTGGTCAGAATAAACATTCTTTCTATTGAGACCTTGAGAGCAACCCTTGTGCACTGTTGGTGGGATTGCAAACTGGTGCAGCCACAGTGGAAAACAGTATGGGTGTTCCTCAAAAAATTAAAAATAGAACTATCCTTTAACCCAGCAATTCCACTTCTGGATATTTATCCAAAGAAACCCAAAACACTAATTCAAAAAGATTTATGCACCTTTATGTTCATTGCAGCATTATTTATAATAGCCAATATATGAAAGCTACCCAAAAGCCTATCAGTAGACAACTGGATAAAGAAGATGTGGTATATATATATACAATGGAATATTACTTGGCCACAAAAAATGAAATTTTACCGTTTATGACAACATGGATGAACCTAAAGGGTATTATGCTAAGTGAAATAAATCAGACAGAAAAAAACAAATACTATGTGATCTCACTTATATATAGAATCTAAAGAACAAAATGAATGAGCAAACAGAAACAGACTCAAAGATACAGAGAACAAACTGATGGTTACCAGATGGGAGAGGGGTTGGGAGGCTAGGTAAAAACGGTGAAGGGATTAAGAAGTGCAAATTGGTCATTACAAAATGGTCTCAGGGATGTAAAGTACAGCATAGAGAATATAGTCAATAATATTTTAATAACTATGTATGATGCCAGATGGGTACTGGACTAATTGGGAAGATCACTTCATAAATTATATAAATGTCTAACCACTATCCTGTTCACCTCAAACTAATATAAAATAATATCAAATGTCAACCATGATCGAAAAAAAACAAAAAAGACCTTGAGAGCAGAGGATGGAAATGCCCGTGGAGCCCTTGGGTCTCTTCTTCTGCCCTCAGGCTTGTGGGTGGAGTAGTCCCCACAGAGTGGGGGAGGGGACTCTGTTACAGGACACGGAGGATGTGATGGGATATTTTCAGACCTATTGACCTCCTGGCCTGGCCATCACTGGAACTCCACAGTTATTTGTAAGAGAAGGATTCAAAAAACTCTGGGTCTGAAGACCTTCCCAAAACAGCCTACCTCCCTACCTTATGCTTTTGCTATGCCTCCGTTCTTGCTGCCTGGGTGAAGCAAAGAGGTAATATCTTATCTGGGGGATGCACGGAGAGGAGGAAGGAATCCCAGATTGGTTCATTTGAATTAAAAATTGTTGACTTTGGAGTTTCATTGTTGCTTCTCTTGCCAGTTGAGCTGGGTCTTTGAACGACGTCTGTCCCTGCCCACGACATTTACTGGACACATGCCCCGGAGGTGTAGCACAGGCCCTTGGGGTGCATTTCCCCTGGTGTGCTCGAGGCTTGCTCTGCTTGCTTTATGTAGGGCCAACAAGCACCCATTCCAGTCTCACACTCACCACCTTATTATTTCAACTAATGGCAAACCTGGTTCAGGACATACATCACATTGTATAGTAGCGAGGTTTATAGAGATGGCAGAAGCTTCCGAAGAGCATTTTAGTCCATTAAAGTCTTTAATGGGATTCTGGGAAAGGTAACATCAGAAGGCTACCAGCCAGATGTCATTTAAGCAGAACCCTTTCCTATTGATTCTCTTATTGGTTCTTAGACACTAACTGATCAGAGTGCTGGGGTTCAGATGCCCTCTTCTGCCTTCCTGAGGCCTGCTGGCAGTGGTCATCATAGTTAATAGGACAGACCGGACGTCAACTCCTAGACCCTTTGGGTGCTCCGAGGACAAGACTATCAAACCCTGGAGGCCCATTTCCAAATCCCTTCCACATCCTCCAAAATTCCCAGAAAGAAGTCATGAAGAACCAAGAGAGGAGTAGATGTGGCCCGCCCAAGGCCTGATGCCCTTCAGCTAACCACAGCCACACTGACTTCTGCGAGTTTATCACTTGTCAGAAAAAGTTGAAGAATTTACTTTCTGACTGACATGGCATTCTAATTGCCCTCTTTCCAAATCAGAGAAAAATGACAAGAATAGTTAAAACAATATGGTAATAGCAGATCTAATGATTAGTAACTTCTTCATGAAAACTGTTGAAATATACCCATATTTTCACTCAGAAACTTGTTCTTGTTTTTTATTTAATGTCTTCTTTAGGGTTTATGGTAAGCTTGGCCTTCTGAGAAACCTTCATTTTGTGGCCTTGAGTCTTGCCATGATTTTTGACCAAAAGCAATGCCATTCTTACCCAAATGAGCAGAGGACTTTATTGGGCACAGCTATCCATTTTATGGATTTTCTCCCCCTGGGTAAAGGTAAAATAATGTTAAATTCCCCACCTGTAGAAATCTCTCACGCAAGTGTAGTGCTAGTGAGAATTTGGAGAGGACTCAGGCAAGGAGGCAGGGGCAGGTGGGAGCCCCTGACCCTGAGAGCTGCTCTGTCCTCACCCTGTCCCTTTGCAGACTTCTCCATGATGACACCCATCAATGACCTCCACACAGCCGACTCCTTGAACCTGGCTAAAGGGGAGCGGCTAATGCGGTGCAAGATCAGCAGTGTGTATCGGCTCCTGGACCTCTACGGCTGGGCCCAGCTGAGTGACACCTATGTCACGGTGAGGAGAGTGTCTGGGAGTGGGGTGGGACACCCTGTGCGGCCCCCATAATTCCAGAGGGAGAACTCCTGGCTGTTGCATGGCCATGGGACTGCTGGTGCCCTTTGGCCAACATGCATTGAGTCTTTCCAAGGTGTCTCACCGCTGTGGTCACCTGAAGTAGATAACCTGCCCAGTGAACACTTCTCTGCATGAGGAGCTGGGAACTCCTGGATCTTATTCCTAGGGCTACCCTTGATCATCCAGCGATTCCTCTTGTGGCTCCATTTCCCCAGTTCCAAATAAAGGCCAGGTCCTCTTCATATCTCATGGGTTGTGTTGGGGGCTTGAGGAGGAAGATTTGGGCACAGTGGGTTCAGAGCAAGAGGGCATTCAAGCAGAATGTCCTTGGAAATGACCATGCTCCTTTTTTCCACTGAGAATGTGTGTCTTTCCTCCAGATGAGGGTCAGCAAGGAGCAGGACCACTTCTTGATTAGCCCTAAGGGAGTTTCTTGCAGTGAAGTCACGGCATCCAGCCTGGTGAGTACAATTCAAGGTCTCATTGCTCATTCCTTATTGCAATGACAGCACCCACTCTGCTCCTACAGTGATAGGTTATCTTCATATTATCCACTGCTGTCCTGTCTCTCGTGGAGCTCACAGTCTGGTGGGGTAGAAGAGACACATGGGCACCAAAACAAATTGAGTGCCCAGAGCATGATGTGACCACAAGACCCAATGAGAGGTGCAGGCGGCAAGAGCAGTAGGAGGGAGGAGAGAGTCGAGATGGGCCTGGTCCTCTGAGCCTGGGATTTACCGTGAAGGCTGGCGGTGGGCAGGACTTTCTGGAAGGGAAATACAGTAGAATGACAGTTAGTGCTTTGTCCCAAAGCAATGCAAGACTTGTCTAGTGTTGGTGCTGTTAGAGATAGCTTCTGCGACCCCTTCCGGTTCTCCTGCTCCTCTTAGGTGTGGTAGAGAGATACATCCAGAAGCTGGTTTCAATCAGGAAAGATTTCTAGAGGGGAGGAGGAAAGCAGTAGAAAGGACTGTCTTATAAGCAGAAAAGACCCGATGTTTCTTAAATGTGCGGGCAGCAACTGTTGTACCATGCACTTGGGAGAGGAAGATGCCACCTTGAGGCCTCTACCAGGCTTGAGACACACTCAGATATTGAGTTTAGGTACTCAGTTAAAAGAGCAGACTGACAAAGTCACAGAATATCTAGGCAGGGCAGGATATTGAGGACTGCCAAGGCCACTTTACAGGCAGGAGAGGGTGCTGGTGCCGAGCGAGGGTGGGTGACTTGCACGGAGCCATCCAGGGAGGTCATGGCAGAGTCAGACTGAGACCACAGACACAAGGACAGCGCATGCTCTATCTTTAAGGCAGTCACGGTCCGGTGGGGGAGAGCAGGGGAGGCAATCAGTGATTAAACTCAGACAGCAGAGTGTCCAATAGAGATGAAGGAAGCTTGGGGAGCCCAGGGAAGGGGCCCCAAGCTCAGTGAGTGCTGTCGAAGGTGGAGGGGGCAAAAGAGGAGCTTCTGGGTTGAAACGAGGAGTGAAGTACTCAGGAGCCCACAGAATAAGCTGACTTAGATCAGGGCATCAGGGAAAGACGGGGCAGAGCTAACCATCTCCTCAGCAGGAGCGCTGCATGCACCAAGCCCAGATGCGTGCCCGGTCCTGGCGTGCTTGGGAGGATAGGTAAGTGGGCGAGTCTGGCTCACATACTCAGTGTCTGGAGGTGAGGCCGGGAAGGCGATAGGGACCAGATGATAAATGGCACTGAAGGCCCATTACGATGTCTTGGCTTTATCGTACTAGACTTGCAGAACCTCTGAAGCATTGTTAGCAGGCAAGTGATGAATCAGGTTTCCATTGCAGAAATTGCACCCAGACAGCTGTGTGGAGGCAAACTGACATCATGACAGCTGGTTGGGGCTATTACAGTTGGCCGGGAAATTCTGGGCCAGCAGCCTTAGTGGGCCTGGTGATCCTTTGGGTTGGGAGTGTGGGATTGAGTTTGAGGAGCTGATGGGACATTCAGGAAAGAAGTCAACTGGCAGTTGGTTATCCTAGGTTCAGAAGAGATCTGGCCTACAATACGGGTTTGAGAATCATGGGCACAAGATGTTCAGGGTATGTGTGTAAACTTGGCACCATTGTGTATGGTTGTGCAGCTCATGCACTGCAGTGAGAGAGCCTGGATAGTGAAAAGGGAGAGGATGGAAACCAAACTGTGATTCACTCACTAAGCATGTCCTGGTACTGGCCGTGTTTTTCAAATTGGCACAATGGAAGCCTCCACACACCAAGCCCTGTGCCCCTGTGCCCCTGGGGCTGCCCTCATTTGGACAAAGGCACTGAATGGAATAGTGGCTGCCCTATTAGGCTGTAGAGATTCTTGAGTGACAACAGATCGCACATCCAAGCCTCAGGTAAGGATTGTATGAGATCCGAGAGAGAGCATCCCAGAGAGGGAACTCTGAGCAGGTCACACATCCAAGGAATTGGGGGACCTGGGCTGAAGGAAAACCAGGGGTCAGCATCAGACACTCACAGGTTTAAGGGATCAGAGTTAGGAGAGTTGCTGCCACTTCCAGGTGCCGGCCACTTTGAAGTCACATTCAGTCTGTACGATTCACTTAAAATAGGATTTGTAAGAGGGAATGTTGAACATCTTACTGATGCTTCTGCTTAAACGAATGATGTCAATAGCGTGTCCCTTCCCCACACAAGTCTGTCCCTTCTTTTGGTACCATTTTGTCTGCCTGGGGCTTCTGGAATGGGGGTAGTGGGCAACTTGTGGAACTGCCCTGTGTGCTGCATACGGGATGTCGAGGTGCTACAAATTTAAGGGCTACAATTTTAATTTTTAGAAACTAAAATCTAGTTTGTAAATAATGCCAGGGACACCTGTCGTCAGTAAGTTAGGCTAACTGCAGGCTGCAGGGAGATTGCACCCTGGGGGCCAGAGGACATATTCAGTAAGAAGTTGTTACGCGGGGCTCGTTTCAGGATTTCGGTTTGTGTTGGGTGCCTTGGGGAGGGTGATAAGAAGGAGGTGTCACCTTGGACTGTGTGTCACCAGATGCAGCAGCAGTTCCATGGGGGGAGGTGTGGCACGAGGCCAAAGCTGCCCTTGGTAAAGAAGCTCTGGTGTCCCTTGTTAGCCATGAGATGGGAGGGGGGAAATGTGTTGGTCATTTTTATGCTTGCGCAGTGTTGTTTTTGTCTGTGCTTGGCCATGATTAAGGAGCAGTCTCTTGTCTTTCTGTGTCACATTCAAAAGTGACCTTCTCTGTTGGTGATTTTCCGTGAGAGTATCTATGTTAAGTAGGGGACACCACAGCCTAACTGTGTGCTAGGCCAGCCAGAGCCACCAGCAATTGTATGTAGACACACACTCACCCCCCACACACACTCACACATGCATGCATACGCACACACTCACACACAAACATATGATTTTTAGCCATGACACCTACTAGCCCCTCAGAGTCAAAAGTAGATTATAAAACCAGTGACTACTTTCTGTTTGTCCTTTAAGATCTAGCTTTTGGGTGATTGGTAAACATGTATTTATTATACTATTTTTTTTTTTTTTTACTTTTGTATATGATTTTTTTAAATTCAAAATAAAAAGTAAAAAAAAAAAATAGAAAGAAAAGGTGCAGATGAGATGTTACTTTCTTGAGAAGGCTTCTCTGATCCCCCATTTTACTGAGATTAAAGAGTCCTCCTAGCCGTTGCTGGAGAATTCTGCAAATGACTCTCTTCTAGCACCTTGCTACTCAACTTGTGATCTGTGGACCAGCAACCTGAGTATCACTTGGGAACTTGGTAGAGATGCAGGCTCTCGGGCCACATTCTTGGTCCACTGAATCAGAATCTGCATTTTGACAGGATCCCCAGGTGATTCATAGGCACAGTAAAGATTGAGAAATGCTGCTGTAGCACTTTTCATGCTGAGTTATAATCCCCCGTGTCCCTGTCAGCCTGTGCACTCACCGAGGGCAGGAACTGGGTCTCTTTTTCCCAACATCAAGCACAACCATTACTCGTGATGCGGTGAGCGAGTGAATGCCAGTGTGTAGACATGTGACAGGCCCACCTGCGGGAAGTGGGGTGAAGGGCCTTTGCCTGCCTGTGGTTGTAAGTCCCCCTTCTTCCCCGGCCCAGATCAAGGTGAACATCCTGGGAGAGGTGGTGGAGAAGGGCAGCAGCTGCTTCCCGGTGGACACCACAGGCTTCTGTCTGCACTCGGCCGTCTATGCAGCCAGACCTGACGTGCGCTGTGTCATCCACCTGCACACGCCGGCCACGGCAGCGGTGAGTGTCAGCTCTTCAGCCAGCAGTTGACTCCCTGAGGCTGGCAGCAGACCCATGCTACCCGCTTCTCTGAGATTTTCCCTGAGGAAAGACCTAAGGCCCCCTAAGCCAATAACAGTCTCATCATTTAAACAGCTCTGTAAGGATTTCCCGGAATTCACACTAAAGTAAAGAGAAGGAAACCCAGTGCGGGGACCCTTAATCCCCTCCATTTTTCTAGCTATGTAGGTGTTGGTTTGGGGAGACAAGGCAAAGGTGTATAATGTCTGCCCCACTGCGTCCCCTGCCTTGCCACACACCAAAACCAGCACCACTTACCCTGACGGCACCTCCTAAGATTCTCTACTCAGACCAGTCCTGTTGGATGCAGGGCTGGCGCTGCCCCTCCCGCTTCCCACCCCAGCCCGGGCTCTTGTGACGAGAGATCCTGACAGAAGATACGATGTTGGGAATCTGGACTTGCCCACTGCTCATAGCCCAGGGTGGGCTGGGAGCCGGGGACAGGAGCAAGGAAATCTGGAAAAGAGTAGAAGGAAGACCCCCTCCCTTCCCCAAAGAGCAGGTTGTCCCCTCAAGGTATTTGGTAATTTCTCCTTGTTTGGCTAAGACACTAATATTGCTTGGAAAGACAGCAGACAACCGTTCTGGCTGTCTCAACCTTCACTGCATCTCACTGACCCCCCAGGCTACACACCCACAGAGGCAGAGCAGACTCATCACTGGCCTGTGGTTTTCTCAGAAAAGCATAATGGTCATGAGCACTCAGACCTTCCAGAATTTGGACCAAGACTAGATGATGTACTTGTGCCAGATGTGCAGAGCCTGGGCTTAGTGATGGGGCAAATTGAGTGAAGGAGGCCGTTCCACACTCCTTCCTTTTAACAAAAGGCAGGGCGGGTGTATGGGGATTACCACGGGGTTTTAACTCTGTTCCCTGGCACTCTTATTGCCCCATCACTAGTAAAATGGGCTTCGCAATGGGCCTCTCTGTTAGTGAAGAGTTGTGGCTGTTTCTGCACTGTCCTCAAGCCTGAGGGTCTCTACCAACCCACCCTAGGAGATGCGGGACCCTGCTTCATCCCAGCCTGGATGCCACCTCCATCACTCCCTGCCTCTTCCCAGAGTCCTAGGACAAGAGCAAAACAGAGGGTGGGCAGCAGTAATAGTTCTCACAAGTACATTCTTTGCAGCAATTTTAAAAGGCGATGTATTGACATGGCTGCTATGAAAAGTGTGATGGAAAGACATTAGAGGAAGCAGCCGGAAAGCAAGACCCCAGCCAGGTAGAGGAAAGTCAAGGGTAGCGCCTTTCTCATGTGATTGGTTCCCACACTCATCCCCAGGGTAGAACGTGACTGTGCCACCCTGAGGAAAAGGGCTGGGGGAGCTGCAGGTGCTAACCATTTCCTCGTCCCACTTAAGGTGTCAGCCATGAAGTGGGGCCTCCTACCTGTCTCTCACAATGCCCTGCTGGTGGGGGACATGGCCTATTATGACTTCAATGGCGAAATGGAGCAGGAAGCGGACCGAATCAACCTGCAGAAGTGCCTTGGACCCACCTGCAAGGTTTGGCTCAGTTGTTCTGGGAAGATGCTTCAGGGTGGATTGTCAAAAGCCTGCATCACAAGTGACATGTGTTCATTGGACGATGTTTAGAAGTTGCACATAAACAAAAAAAGTGAAATAAAACTCTATCACATTACCTTGAGATTTTGGTAGACACCCCAAATGTATTCACATGTATTTACGAAACCAGAATCATAAAATATATTCCCCTTTTTTCCCTTAGCAATATACAGTAAACACCTTTGTATATTCTTAAATATTTTCTACGTCGCTATTTCAAATATTAAATTACACTTCATCGTATGAACGGCTATGCCATCATTTACCTGAACAATCCTCTACAGTTGGACATAGTAAGGTCCCCACCTCCCCCACCCCCAGATTTTCTCTTGATGTAAACAACACTGCAATGGAAAAATCCTTTCAGCCAAGTCTTTGTGTATGCTTGAGATGATTTCTTTTGGATACATTCCTGAGGATGTACACTTTAAAATTCTTACTTCCTATTGCCAAATTGCCCTCTCCTCTCCCCAATGGCTAGTCTATGAGAATGCTGTTTCCCTTTGGTCTCCCCAAACTTGAGTGTTATTATATTGCTAACTTGATATAGAAAAGTGGAATCTCATTATCGTTTGGTTTACATCTAAAGCACATAATTTTACAACAGCACGTAATCAGGGGTGGTCAGCTTAGTATGGGAAGTTTCAGAGCCGAGCCTGGGTTGATGGGCACCTGCTCCTGTCCTTAAAAGGCACTCACTGCCCAAGTCATTTCCTGTCTGTGAGTCCCTGTCTTCTTATCTCTGACACAGAGGAGAAATCTCTGCCATCTCTCCTGCCGCTCTCTAAAGCTGCATGAGCAGTACCTGGGGAGGGATGAGATGTTCACATCTATGAGCTGCTGCAAAAATTTGAAAGATGGGACATTTGTTCTCTGCAAAATCTTTCTTTTGTGGGCCAGAGTCATTGTCTCTTTGCATTTCTCTGGCACTTGAGAGGAAAAACCTCCAGCTGTTTTCGGCAAGAGAGGACGTGACAATTTGGCCTCAGCCCAGGTGTGCATGGTCAGATCCAATACATGGATCTGTGTGTCCCAGCTCCCAGGTGAGCATCAGCTGGTTCCAGAGAGTTCTCTAGGATAAAACCAATCAAGAAGAATTTCTGGCACCTGGACCCTGGGGAGTCAGGGTCTTGGTCTAAATTTATTTCTGAGTTTTCCCCGCTTTTATCTTCCTGCCCCTGGCCGAGTCAGAAACATTGCACCAATGATGAGAACATGTGGGTTCAGTTCCCATTCTTCCCTTAAATAAGCTGGGAGACTTTTGATTCCTTTAGGCTTCTATTTCCTCTATAGTAAAACCAATGAGTTAGATTAGAAGGTTGCTACGGCCTCTTTTACAGAATTGTCCGATCTTAGCCCTGCCAGGGCCTCACCGGGTTTATAGGGAGGAAAGCCGAGGTCCAGAGAGGTTGTGCGCCTTGCCATCAGGGTCGCAGGTTGTCCACCGGTTTCTGCAGAGCCGCCCCTTAGAGCCCCACCTCCACACACACGCTAACTTGTGGGGTAGCATTGGAGTGTTTGGGTAGGGAGAACGAATGGTGGAGGGTGGGGGTGGCACTCTGGGATTGGATATCAAATTGATCTGAATAAAATGAAAATCTCTCCCTCTTAACTAAAGTTTAGAAGGCTTAAAGTTTTAATTAGCCATTTGCTGCTCTACAGATCCTGGTGCTAAGAAACCATGGCGTGGTTGCTCTAGGTGACACTGTGGAGGAAGCATTTTACAAGATCTTCCACCTGCAGGCTGCATGTGAGATACAGGTGAGCAAGTTCCTCTGGGCAATGGCTCTGACGGGCCTGTGGGCAAGAGCGTGGCCCCATTGGCTCTGATTTAAGGAGGGCTCTGAGCCTGTCCATCTAAAAGCCTTGTCTTATTTCTCTGCCATGGCCTCACCTTATCCATCTAAAGTTTCGCACTTAGAATCAGTTTTGTAGCTTTGAAAAATTTATCACCATTGTCTAACAACCAACACCCAACTCTTAGGGGTCAGTGCCCAGAATGGGGAGCTGCCTGGGCTCACCAATTAGATGAAACTATAATAGGGCAGATAAAAGTTTTTACCATGCTTACATATTATCTGCAATATTCCTGTTATATCTGGCAATGCCCAACAGACACCACACAGGTGAGGTTTTTTTTTTTCTTTTTTTTCTCTCCTCTTCCTTTTCGCACTTAGAATCAGTTTTGTAGCTTTGAAAAATTTATCACCATTGTCTAACAACCAACACCCAACTCTTAGGGGTCAGTGCCCAGGAATGGGGAGTGCCTGGGCTCACCAATTAGATGAAACTATAATAGGGCAGATAAAAGTTTTTACCATGCTTACATATTATCTGCAATATTCCTGTTATATCTGGCAATGCCCAACAGACACCACACAGGTGAGGTTTTTTTTTTCTTTTTTTTCTCTCCTCTTCCTCCTCTTTTTTTTTTTTTTTTTTTTGATGTGAATAGATTGAAAAAACCATGAACATGGTCAAGTCCAGAAAGAAAAGTGGAGCGCAGGCCAGGGTGGTGCTGACGTGGCAGCCTGGAACACCTGGGAGCCCCTGAGGGGATGTGTAGGCAGCCCATCCTAAGCTTCTCCTAACCAGTGGAGTGGAGGGTGGGTGGAGAGTGTCAGTGGTCATGGGACCCCCTAGAGGAGTTGATGAAGAAGCAGCAGGAAAACAGACACAAATTTTATAGCTTTATCAGATAAGTGGTGTTGGATAAGCCAAGCACATGTTCCTTTCAGTGTGATAAGACATTAGGGATGAGTAGGGGGCCTCGAACAGCTGACCGGGCTCCATCCTTCTCAGTTCTTAGCTGTGTGCCTTGGGTTGGGGACTTGCTCTCCGTGAGTCCCCCGTTTCCTCAACTGCAGATGTGGATGCCTATAGGGTTCTTGTGAGGACAGCCATTCAGACAAGGAGAGGTGCTGCTGATGGTATTTTGGGGACTAAGTTGACAGAAGAGGAGTCTTGCTGCTCCAGAGTGAGTCAGCTCTCTGCAGGGCCTTCTGGGTGTCCTGTCTGCCCTCTCCTGGCTGGTCCAGGCAGAGCAGTGCCCCGGTAAGAAGGCCTGCCTTTCTCTTGGGAGTTATGGCTCTAAGTGATACCTTTCTCAATATTTTTAAAGGAATATGTTAGGGATAGTTGTTAAGACAGTGATGAAGATGTGTTAGAGGAAGTGGTATGAGGCTGCCTCCTCCCTCCCCCCAGAATACCAACAGTAGTCGTCAGAACAGGAGAGTATGGAGAAGGTGGAACAGGACCAAGGAGGTGCCTTTCTAATGTGGTAGCTTTCCTGCCCCCAACCAGTGATACCAGCCCTGAGCTCTGACCCCTGACTGGTGTTAGAACATGACAGAGCCTCTGATATGCCCACTTTCCCTTCCCCACATCTCAGCTCTTAAGAATTCTTCATCTTCCTTCTGAGAAGAAGCTCCCGTGAGACAGTTGTTCTTATTTCTTTGCAAAGACAGGACAGACCTAAGAATGAATGGAGAGAGATGCTCATGTCCCCCTCCTGGTGAAGTGAAGTGTGTCTCTCCCAGCCTCCAGACCTTCAGAAATGGCCACCGAGCAATTTAACCAAAGGCAGGATAGCCATCTAGCATCTGCAGAGATGAAAGGGCAGAGCTGACAGCCCAGCAGCTGTTTCTCTTGGCCCTGCCTGCTGTCATTTTCTTTTTAGTCAGGACTGGGTTTGATGTGACCTTGTTAAAGTACATCAGGCGATGGAGGCAGATAACCCCCAGAAAAGCACCAGTGGCTTCTTTTAGCTGGTGGAGTAGGAAGGCTTCTAGAGAGAGAAATGAAACTGGAAGGTGTGAAAGACAACTCAGCAAGATTAGGTGTGGGTGTTTTAAAGCATGGAAGGTCCCACATACCAGCAGTCTGCAGGTGCTGTTGGAATTGCAGCATCCGGCTGGATCGTTTCTGATTGAATTGCCAACATTGAAGTTCTCTTTCCATTGTGGGTCTAGTTTTCTCCGTTGGTGACCTTGGCAAACGAGCAAATGTAACTGTGGTCATTTTAGTGGTTCAAGGCTCAGAGCCTATTTTGTTCCCTTGGGTTAGTGTTCTTTTTGCTCCCCATCAGTTTGGGGTTCCAGGAAATTGGGTCAACCCCAGCTGAGAAAGGCAGCTCCCTGCTCTGCTTACAGGCAGATGGTAAGAAGCTCAGGCAGTTCTTCTGCATCTGCTACCCATCACCATGGAAACCGATGAGGGGAAGAGGGAGATGGGAGGAGGCAGCCCTTGTGGGCATTTCTCTCCTCCTCCATGGATGACCAGTCCCCAGGGGATATTGTTTCTCAGCCTTTCATGGTAAAACCTCATGATTTGTTTCTCATCAACATTTATATGGTGCTTTATATGTACTAGGCGCTATTCTAAATGCTTTGCAAATATTATCTTCAGCAATCCTCATGAGGTATATACTACTGTTTTCGTTTTATAGATGAGGAAAACTAAGGCACAGAGAGGGTAAACAACTGCCCAAAGTCACACGGCAAGCGAATGGCAGGCCAGAATTCCAGTGCAGGCAGCCTGGTGCCTGAGTCTGTGTCCTTAAACACTATGTTGCGTTGCACTGCAGCTCGGGACAGTAGGGGTCAATGGAAGAGGTTGGCTGACAGGCCAGGATCCCCCTTCAGAGAGCTGGCACTTCAGGTCCCAGGCTGGAACCCTGCCTTGGCCAGATTCAGTTGCAGGATGCCCTAGGTAAATTGATCAGCCAGGTAGAATTCAGTATCTCTAAGGGAACATGCACTCAGACTCAGAGCAGGGTGTAAGGGACTTCAGAATTAGAAAACATGGCAGCAGAGGGTAGACGTGGGACCAGTAGATTTCAATTCCCTATAAATCTGTATCAACTCACTATGACCCTTCTAACATTTGGACAACAATACAGTAGGCTGCCTCCCCAAGCATGGAGCCGACTACCTTCTAAGGATATCAGATGGGGACTCTTACTATTGGTGGGAGGTTGGAATAAATGACCTCTAAGGTCTCTATCTTTGCCAGAGTGTGGAGTCATCTTTTTAAGTTAAAAATGTAGCCATCCATTGGACATATGTCTTGGATAAAGAGGGTGTAGAAAATAGTGTTCTAGCTTTCTCCCCTTCACAGGGCAATGGGGTCATCTTGAGAAGGTCGCCTGGCTGACCTTCATGAAGTCTCATAGGGGCCATTTGTTACACTGGTGAATTTAATACAGTCTAGGGTGTGTCCCAGACCCTCATGGGATCATGTGTTCAGCAGCAAGATTGCATCCTTTTATTTTCAGTAAAAAAGAAAAATAATAATAACTATCACAAATACTGAAATTCTGAAGGTTTGTGTAATAACAGCTATTCCCCTGTAATAAGCAGGCTTACAGTGTACCAGCAAATGTTAATCAGAATGCTAGTATATCGGGGCATAGCGCAAAACTCCTGGCTCAGCTGCTTTCTGTAGCTGGACTTGCCCAGGAAGCCAAATCATGGCCAATTATATCTGAGTGACAGACATAGGGAGTAAATAAAATGTACTGTTAAATGAGCATGGAATTAGATAATAAGAGGATTAGTTAAATTAATGAATCTTTATTAGGAACATTCTAAAATTGCCTGCTGTGTACACATACCTCTTGCCCTAATACTCAAAGTCTGTCGCTGGCGACCACCTGTATTGTCCCCTCCCCCGGAAGCCTTGACAGTGAGACGAACACTCTAAGTTCATTGGTGAAAGTTGCCTCACCCTGCATAATACTGGATTGTGCATAGTCAGCTTTTCATCTGTCTCCTTCCTGGTTTCCTTGACTGGGTAACCTCATCATGGAGGATGCATTCTGTCTTTAGATTTGTTAATTCAGCCCATCAGGCTACTTCATATTTCATTGGTCTAGAAGCTAGCCTGTTTCTTTCAAGTGACTTTTTTTTTTAAAGAAGGGAAATATTTCAAACATAGAGAAAAATGCAAAGAATAACATAATAGTATACACCTGCTACCCACTTCGCAGACGTAACAAGTATTAACAGCCTTCGTGCTTCAGATCTTCTCCTCTTGAAGAAATAAGATGTTACAAGCACGACTGAAAGTCCACTTTGGAGTCCTTTCGATCCTATCTTCCCACTTTCCCCAGAAGTAATCAGAAACTGAAGTTGGTCTGTCCCCTACATAAATTTTCAGTCCTCTGTATTGTTTTATTCTTAAGGTTTAACACTTGCTGTGTCCTCCTTCTCTATAGTCTCTAAAAACTGACATTAAGAAAGAAACTGCTAATACTTCTTTCCTCGGAAATGGGTGCACACACCACAAGTTTGGGGTGGCTTTCCTCTGGGAGGAAAAAGACAAATACAGCTCAGCTTTCCAACCATTTTCGTTTCTAGTCTTCCCTAATCCCCATTCTCCGTTACACACACGAGCAGAGGTAAGTGCATGGGTATGTGTGTGTACACGCACATGAACACACACATGTGCATGCGTATGCACAAGCTCAGGGCTCTCTGCTCTTCACCACAGGTGTCCGCTCTGTCCAGCGCCGGGGGAGTGGAGAACCTCATCCTCCTAGAGCAGGAGAAGCACCGGCCCCACGAGGTGGGCTCCGTGCAGTGGGCCGGGAGCACCTTTGGGCCCATGCAGAAGAGCCGGCTTGGGGAGCACGAGTTTGAGGCCCTCATGAGGATGCTGGACAATCTGGTGAGTCTCCTGCCATTATCCTTTTAGGCTAGTCCATTAAGGCTTAGCCCCAGAACCAGTCAGCATGAGGCAGTAGGTGGGCATCAGAATTGCCAGCATCACAGTTATTTTGTTAAAGCCTCGTTGATTGACAGCTTGACTTAGAATTTGTGGTCATTCTAATAGTAGTTGAGGTGGCCTTTGCTACCCCTTCCCAGGGCTATAATGTCATACCTGCAGAATGCTCTTTGGAGACGGGGTAAGAAGATATTGGTTGGTAAGGGAAGTAGTAATACAGTAAAAATCAGAACCACAGAACCTCTCATAGTGTGACTTAGTTCACTCTTTTGTAGTTAGTTCTTTAATGCAGAAAACACATAATACCACCGATTTCATTATTTCTGGTGAGCAGCATCGTGACAATATGCTATTATAATAATTGAATGAATTAGTCATTACAAGAGTCAACTGGGAAGTGTCTAGGAATGGGATTTAAAGGATACACAAGAATTTTAAGACATTCTTTCTTCTAGAGGCTAACGATTTAGTTGATGACATGACACATAAGCGGGAGACAATTCAAGAACAAGAAGAAAGCTTATACCATACACGAGGAGCTAATTGCAGGAAGAAGAGACTCTTAACTTCTTAGATTGCTAATAGTGAAACATGAGACCTAGCTTTGTAGCATTTCCATATCTAATTCATCCCTCACCACTGCTCTTGTCTTGGTCTCTCCTCATTGTGCCTAGGTCGTTGCGATAATCAATACTTTCCTCTTTGCCTCCAGTTCCTCCTAATCATCTCCAACTTATTACCAGGCTGACCATGAGGGTCACTTTATAATGATGAAAGATACAATCCACAATGAAAATACAACTCTCACTAGCATTTGCATGCCGAATAGTCTATGCCTAAATAAAGCACCTGAACCAGACGGTTTCATACAGGAATTCTTTCAACTCTTTAAGAAACAGACAATTCTTATGTTATTTTAATCTTTCTCAGAGAAGAATGAAAGAAGGACCATAACAATTATAACATAGTCAGAGCAATCTTACTTGGAGTCGATGAAAAATACTGCATGAAAACTAGCAAATAGTATGCAGCATAACATCAGGATAACAATACACAATAACCAAGAAAGGGTTCATTCCTGGTATTCAAGGAAGCCTTAATATTATCAACCTTTTAAATATGTTTTATAATGTTAATGACTCTAGGGATAAAAACCTTTTGATCATTTTAATAAATATAAAAGGCAGTGGACAACAATTTGGCATCAACTTATAAAAATAAAAGCTGTTAAGTAGAACAAGAAGACACTTATTTAACATAATTAAAATGACTTTTCTCAAAACATGAGCCATTATTATGGCCAAACACTAGGAGTATTTCCATTAAATTTTACACTTGATCTTAGCCAAAAGCCCAAGAAGCAATCTATTGAGTTTTGAAACAAAATAATGACTCCTGCTCTCAGCACTGTTATTTAATATTGTTCTAGAATAGAATTGGAACTCAATCCAAAGCAAGGAGGCATAAAAATAAGAGGTATAAATATTACAAAGGAAACGAAATTATAATTTTTTGTAGATAGCGTGGTTACATGCCTTAAAGTCCAAAAGAGTCAACTGAAAGTAATATAAGAAATAATTAGTGCATTTTAAAGTGGTCACACGAAAATGCATACAAAAATTAGTAGGTTTTTAAAATATTTTAACACATAATATATTTGAAAATATAATAATGGGAGAAAATAACTCCATTTGCAAATGCAACAAAATCATAAAACATTAAGCAGAACCCATTTAAAGAAAACCACATAGCTTTACCAATAGACATCAGAGAAAATCTGAAATCAGTGAAGAGCTATAATTTATTTTTGGTTAGAAAGCTTCCATAGGATAAAGAGATCACTTTTCCAAATTGACCAATAAATTCAATGTAATTCCTTTAAAAATGAGGAAAGGTGTAAGGACTTAGCAAAGTATTCTTCTAGGTGAAATTCAGAATGGTTAGGAAAATCCTATAAGGAGAAGGGAAATTAGGGGTACTTGTCCCACCACATGGTAAAGCATGATAAAGCTTAAGTAACTAAACGGAGGAGCACTAGTGCAGAATGGACAGGCAAATCAGTGTGACAGCTTAGAAAATCTAGAAGTAGATCCCAAATATATGAGAAATTAACGCAGGGCAAATAGGGCAAAAAGATAGACTGCTAGCCATTTAGAGAATAAAACTAACATGGATTGCTACCTCATGCCTTTCGACAAGATAAATTCCTGATTTATCAAAAATTTAAACATATAAAACAAAACACATAGATATTAGAAACATAGATTAATATTTGTGATGGTCTTGTGCTGAGGAAGACCTTGCGAGCATGGCAGGAAAGTCTAAAATCATGATGACGAATATTAATAGATATAATTACATTAAAATTCAAAATGTGCATTTTCTAAACCATTCCCTCAACCATAAACAAAGCTAAAAGACAAACTATGGGAGGAAATGTTTGCAAATCTGTGACAGTCAAAAGATTAAAATCCTTAATATAAAAAGAAACATTATAAATCAATGTGAGAAAGAAAAACATATCAACAGAAAAATGAATCAAGAACACGATTTACAAAGGAAGAGATTCAAGTGGCCATCCAGTATAATTAAAAACATCTAATTTTACTAGTAATCCAAAAGAGAGCAAAAGAGAATTAGAGAAGAAGCTGAGAATGGCTTCACGACTGCCAAGATTCCTGAGTATTCTTTCTCACTGAGCAGCAGTCCATTCTCCTTTTGTGAGAGACATGGTCTTGCTTAGGAGACAGGGGTGTTCTTGAGTCAGATTTGAGAGTTCTGAGAGGAAAATATTTAAGAAGCCTCAGAGTGGAGGAAGGGAGGCTGATTATTAGAATCCAGCTGGGAAGCTTTTAAAAATCCTGTTGCCCAGACCACACTACCATCTGGTGACACGGGCAGTTATGAGGTAGGCCCAGGCATCAGCATTTTTAAAGCTCCCACCTGGTTCCAATGTGCAGGTGGGTTTGAGAACACTGCATGAGATGAAAAGTTGGAGCTTTGTTTGGGTAAGGAGCTCTGTCTGGTCCACAAGGTCCCAGGGATTTTCTCAGCCTTGGCGTATTGGGGTGGAGGAGGGGAGGGTTTGGGGGGAAGGAGGGGAAAGGGTGGGAGATCAAAACAGGAAACAGTTCTGAAATACAGCCGAGGAGCGGCAAAGCCTGAGTTGTATTATGGAGATTAGGTTTAAAATGAGTTATTAGATGGAAGGGGATTTAGTGTGTGGGTGGGCATGCAGGCATATAGAGACCATTTCCCCCACAATCAGTGGTTCTTTTTTTGTCCTTTTTAGGGTTATAGAACAGGCTACACGTACCGTTACCCCTTCGTTCAAGAGAAAACCAAACATAAAAGTGAGGTGGAGATTCCGGCCACGGTCACAGCCTTCGTGTTCGAGGAGGATGGCGCCCCGGTGCCCACTCTGCGGCAGCACGCCCAGAAGCAGCAAAAGGAGAAGACCCGCTGGCTCAACACGCCCAACACCTACCTGCGGGTCAACGTGGCCGACGAGGTCCAGAGGAGCATGGGCAGCCCCCGGCCCAAGACCACAGTAAGGCGGGCAGCGAGGGGCTCCTGATGGGGAAGGCCAGGGTTGGGGAGAGTGCCCGGCTATGTGTCTCCTCTGGGCCTATGTTAGCACAAGCTCTGATTAGGACTTTCTATCGGACGTCTGGGAGCAGTTCTTTGTGCCCATGGAACCTCTGATCACCTCTTTCTTACACCTCTACGCTGAGTTTTTGGGTCTAGAGGGTGGCTGGACCAGTTTATCCTTAGCAGCATGAGAGCCAAGGGCAATTGATGTTTGCTTCTTGCTCCCACATCCAGAGGGGGCTTCTGGGAAGTTCAAGAATGGGTATCCAACATTTAAACTGCACATCTGATGCAAACCCAGGAGGTGGGTGGGATATACATTTCTATCTATTACATTATCTCCCCCACCCCAACACACACACTCACTTTGACTCTTAATCTGATTTTTTATTAACATTAAAGTAGCTAGCAGCCAAATAGACTAGCTCTTCATTAAAAAACAATAATAAAATAAAGCCTTGCAAATTCACATCATTGAGTTGTCTAATACTGAAGCTCAAGTGACTGTCTATCTGTCATTGCTGGTTACCAAGGATCTGACCTCTACTCTTAAGTGTTCTTTATGGCTATTGACCTGGATCTTTTTCGGCAGCTAGGTCATTTGTTGCCCATCTCTGCTCTGGGAGCCAGACATCACAGAGACCCCCTGGGAGAGACTATATATGTATAGGCTTGCCGACCTTCCATGTAGGCCTGTCAGCCCAGATCTCATGGGGCACACCACTGGGGAGGACACCTGGGTCTTATTCCTTTGCCTTACCCACCTGGCCTTGTGTGTGTTCAGTGGATGAAGGCTGACGAGGTGGAGAAATCCAGCAGTGGCATGCCGATACGGATTGAAAACCCAAACCAATTTGTGCCTCTCTATACTGACCCCCAAGAAGTGCTGGACATGCGAAACAAGGTAGGGTGGTAGCCATCTCTTGTTCCTCAAGGACGTGGGGGGAGGCTGGTTTCCTAGGATGCTTCTGACTTATCAACACCCCATGGTGCCTCTTATGAGTCAGAAAGAAACTACCATTTATTGGCCTCATTCCAGGCACTGTGCTAAGTGCCTCACTGATGTAGTCCTCTAGAACCCTTACATAGAGAGGTGTTTGCTTTAGGCATTAGGTATGTCTAAGAGACCTGCCCACAAATTGAGTTTTTATTAATTCTATGCTATTTTCCTTTTGGCCCATTTTCAAGATTTCAAAATCTTTTATATTTATTTCTCCACCTTTGCTTTACAGTTCACTTGCATTTTTAATGTTACGTTAAAAACTTAAGTTGTAGCAGACCACCTTCAGATACACTCACAAAACAGCTTGTCTAAGGACCCTCTGAAGTGCTTGTTTGAAATGCAGATTCCTGGGTCGCCCCCCATCTCACTCCCCAAGAGATTCAGATTCAATAGGTGTGGTGGCCCTGAAATCTGTATTTTATTTTATTTTATTATTATTTTTTTAACTCCTACAGCACCTGGTCTTCCTAGGTGATCTCCCATCCAAGTACTAACCAGGCCTGACCCAGCTTAGCTTCCCAGATCGGGCTTGTTCAGGGTGGCATGGCCATATACTGAAATCTGTATTTTAAACAAACTCCTCAGGGTCTTCTTAGGAATATTAAAATTTGAGACTATCCCTCAAGGATCGACTCTGCCTCCTTTCACGCTTCACTTCCTAACCTTGCCTGAGTCAATGAGAATCTGGCGTTTTACATAAACCGCTTGTTCACTCTGAAACAGACGTAGAGACTGTCTCAGAGTGACAGACTCTGTTAGAAATAGAGGAGACAGGCACCCAACCGCTGGAGGACCTTTTTAGACCCAAGTCACAAATCACACTGGACACCAGTATGCCCCGGGAATGCCCTTCCCACACTCCACACTCTGACACTGAACAGAGAGCTCACTCCCCCCCTCCTTTTCCACACAGATTCGAGAACAAAACCGACAAGATGTGAAGTCGGCAGGGCCCCAGTCTCAGCTCCTGGCGAGCGTCATCGCTGAGAAGAGCCGAAGCCCGGTACAGCAGAGGCAGCCCCTGTCTGGAGGGGAAGCATGTGTGCCTCCCGGGTCTTCAGCGCCCGGGGCTGGGCAGCAGGACCCCTGAGTCCTCATGCCCACTTCCCTCTGTGATCTTGGGTGCTGATGCTCTTGCTGCAAAACGGACGCTGTGGGGTCCAGGGGAGTGTCTAATCACCCGCTGTGGGCACTGGGTGGGGCAGCAGCTGCCCAGCCTGCCCATGGGAGTGAGGCTGACTTCCATGCTTCTCCCGTGGAGCTCCACTCTGCCGTCTCTTAGAATCCTGCAAAGTGGAGAATGTGGCTGGCAGCTCCCAGCTGCTCGGGCTTGCCTGCCTGAGCATTTCTGGCCTCTGTGCAGATATGGTATCGTGAGACTGTAGCTGTAGGAAGATGCTCGTGTGCTCTCAGAGGGGAGGCATGTGTATAAGGACCAGTGCTCCTACAGAATGGGAAGGGGAAGGTAGTTGCCCTCCCCACCCCCCACATAGAGTTAGAAAGTATAAAGTTGTTGTTTCTATGCTTGAGATAGAACAGTGTTTGTCTAGTGCTTAGCAAAAGGAGTAAAGATCAGACTTCTGGCTTGTGTTGGAAATCATTGCCACTAACTACAAACTAGCAATGGGCATGGCATCTTTCTTAGCAGCAAGAAGGGGTAAAATACAGAAACCATCTTCTCTGCTGAGCAAATCGACATGATGCAATGATTTCAGATCATGTGGGTGCACACAGCGTGTGGATGCCCACAGCGTGTGGGTGCCCATTGGCCGGCAAAGTGTGAAGGTTATGTCATCACACTCACCTCCATCTCATCTCAACTCAGCCAAGATGAGGAACACCAAATGTGCCACAGGTTCAAGAATAGAAATACCCCGTGATACTGGGGTGATGTGAGAGTTCAAGGCAATGAGCAAAATTGTTAAAAACTTTGCCATTTATACCAAATGCTCTCCTTGGAGTCCCTCTTCTTGGAATCCTGGTCTTGGACTCTCTTTTGAACCTATGATTCCTTAAGATAGGCCCGGCACTGCCCCTCTTTTGGGAGGAGCCCGTGAGCCCCTCGTCAGGAGGTCTGATGGGCCAGAGGGAGATGGCCAGGCATGTGTGGTGTGGGCCAGCTGCCCAGGGCTCGCCTGCCCCTGGGTTTCCCTTTCTTTGCTCCTCCTCAGCTCCAGAGCACCGCATTCTCAAAGGTCAAGATGAGGATGCTGGATTAGGAAAAAGGACTATGGAATCTGAATTTTAGTCCCTGTCTTGAGCTAGAGGAGTCAGAGAATTCCTGAAGCTTACACGAGTTTACTCAGCTGGTGAGCTCCCAAGAGCTAGGGGCTCCATGGAGGTGGTTAAACAGTGCTTTTGCCAATATCCCCGCAGGGACCTGCAGTCTAGGCAGGTTGAAGATCTGAGATTCAGGACCTTGGTCCCCTTGTAATTTATGACTGTGTGCAAAACAGGCCTAACACTTTGGACTGAGAATGCTGAAGCCGCTGTCTGTTTTAGTGCTGTGTGCTGTAGCTTGTGCTGCTTTGCGGGAGAGGGAGGTGCAGGGTGGGGAACAGCTGGCATGATGCTGACTGAGCCAATGCTTTGCTGGCTGGATTTTGGCTGACTGACTTTGGGCCACTGACTGTATTTGTATAGTGATGGCTTGCAAGCGTCCACAGGAGGGACTGCAATAAAGGTGTGTCTTCCTTCTGCTTGGGAGCATCCTTTGATTTTATTTCTGGGGCAGAGGGTGGACCCCCTGTATTCATCCAAGCAGTTGTAAAGAATCAGGGTCTGGGGGTGAGGTAGCCGTGGGGAGAAAGGAACAGCCCTACTCTGAGGCCCTGGGCTGTTTCCAAGAAGCTGCATGCCACGCTGTCCCTAGCAAGACCACTGGCAGCCACATGAGTCTGAAAGGAAGCTCGGGCCTGGGCCCCAACCCCGGCGATCAGAGAGCAACACACACTGTGGTTAACTTTCAGTCTACAGAGAGCCAGCTGATGGCCAAGGGCGACGCAGACACCAAAGACGAGTCAGAGGAGACGGTGCCCAACCCCTTCAGCCAACTCACTGACCAGGAGCTGGAGGAGTACAAGAAAGAGGTGGAGAGGAAGAAACTAGAACTCGAAGGTAAAGAACCCCGGTGCTTCAGGATCTCCCAGGCTGGAGAGGAGGGTTTGGGGGTGCTGAGAGAGAGAGAGAGACAGAGAGAAAGAGAGAGAGAGAGAGAGAGAGAGAGAGAGAAAGAGAAAGAGAAAGAAAGAATGAAAGAAAGCAGAGCAACCGGCAGACCTGGAAATCAGGCCTTCCCTCCTGGGCCCTCAGGGCTCAATCTAACCTCCTCTTGCTTTCATTTTTAATCCTCACTTGCTTCTCTCTCTCTCTTCTCTGTCCTAGCCTCAATCGAACCTTCTTGCTCAATCACCAAATAATATTCTTACTAGCATAATACTATTAATCACAATGACTCATGTTGTACCTCATGTTACATGGTGTCCTCAGGACCTCCTCTGACCCTCTCACCTGGGTATAAAGAGTTAATCCTTATAGAGTGCTTAGAATAGCGCCTATAAATGTGGCTTACATCAGTCAACACCAGATAAATGATAGCTATGAGAAGATAATTATAATAGTGATAATTATTAATGATCTGTCAGATCTGTTATATAAACCTTTTTAGCCTGGCTGTCAAAACTCTCCACTAGCCGACTTTATTTCACTCCTTTATTTCAGAATCTCGAGTTAAGCTCACCTCTCTATGTTGACTCCTAGAAAGACATCCATGCTCATGATAGTTATGCCCTTGTTCATGTCCTTGCCCTTTCCTAGCATGGTTTCCCTTTCTGGACGAGCCTGATCCAAAGGTATCTACACTTCAGGCTCCACCTCAAACCCCCTCCTCGGAAGCCTGCTCTGTCTCTCCCCACCCCCACACTGAGCTGTCCTTTCTCTTTGCCTCAGGCGCAATCAGGGCTTAAGACCTAGAAGTCAGCTCTTAGTTTTGTCCACCAGGCTAGGCTTTCACTCCCTCAGGGCAGGGTCTTCCTCCACCATCCCCCTCCCCACCCAGAGTCAGCTGTCTTCCTGGGGGCCAAGCCGGCACTAGCAAAACCCTTGCTGGCTTGTTTGGAGTTCTAATGGGCCAACTGAAAAAGTAAGCAGAAAAATATGGTGCTTTGAATCCCTAGGCATTGTTTGGACTGAACATGTAAATTAGATAAATTAAATCATAAAGGAGCTACATGCCAACAAATCACGGGTGGAAACTCTCTTGCTGCCCTTGTCAGGGGTAATATTTCATCAGTGGATGTGTTTGATGGAGGAAACAGAACGTGACTCTGACTCCTCCCGTTGGCATCCCCAGGATGTAGCAGAAATAACAAAAGGATGGGGGAGCAGGTAACTACAGGCAGGAGCAATGAGGACCAAATAGAAGAAAGCAATTTTTTTAATGCTCTCTTTCTGCCCGTCTCTCTTCTGCTTGACCTTTATCCTGAGGTAGTTTTCTGTATTTTCAGGAGAGAAGGAAACTGCCACAGAGGAGCCTGGCTCACCCGTAAAGTCTGCACCTGCTTCTCCAGCACAGAGCCCAGCAAAATCAGAGACAAAGAGCCCCGTGGTCTCTCCCTCCAAGTCTTTAGATGGTGAGTCGGTGAGTCTGACCTCAGTAGCCAGGAGAGAGAGAGAGATGCATTCACAGGCTGAGAAAGAGGTCTGCATGGAAGGCGGGCCAGGCGTGCACCCTGCAGGGACTCAGCCTTTCAACAGGTGTTGTCTCCCTACCCGAAAAGCTTTTCCCTCTACCATTTCTAGAGAATCTGAAATAAGGGTTACCAAAATAAACTTGTTCCGTTCACAGGCTGTGACCATACACCTTACAGCTTAAGCCCAGCCCAAGCAGTGACGAATAAGTTAATGACTGACTCAGAGCCTCTCACTTCTAACTCAGGCTGGGTTGGCTGGTGGGCCTTTCCCGATGCACTAGCCCACTGCTCAGACCTTAATATGCCCAAGGATCATCTACAAATTTTGTTAAAATCAAGATTCTGGGTCAGCAAGTCCAGGTGGGACCTGAGACTCTGCATTTCCAACAAATTCCCAGATGAGGCTTATGAGGTCATTCTCGGCTTTGTGCCTGGGAATCACGTGGGGGCGTTCTAATAGCCCTGAAACCTGCCTTGGTCCCATCCACCAGCTGTTGAGTTAAATGGTCTGGGGGTGGGGCCGGGGATGCATGCAGCCTGGAGTTTTAAGGCCCCACCAGGTGAATCTACTGTGTAGCCCAGGTCGAGAACCACTTCACTAGCTACTAATTTAGAGAACTGAGTTCTAGGCCCAATTCAACTGCTAACTAATAACTCAGCTGCTAATTTGAGAAAATCTAATGATCTTTGTACTTCAGTTTCCTTGTCTATCAAATAGGGCTACTAATATTTTCCCTTTTTAAGGTTCTTATATGTATAAGGAAAGTTGGAGATGAAAGCATACATCGAAAGAGTAAAAGCATGATTTAAATGTAAGATCCAATTATGGTTATGATTGATACTGTGTATGACAGATAATACTTTTATAGCCCATTCCACCTAGATCATGAAAGTGTCTTTAATGAGCTCCTGGAATCACTCCTGGGCATAAACAACCCTCCCCTGGCTCCCTAGAGCCCTCACCAGGGAGAGGCATACCGCCATGCCAGGAGCAGCGGCTTGGTGGCCTCAAGGAGTCTTCTCCCTCCTGGGTGGAAGGTCACCTATGTGGAAGCTGCTAGAACCCCCCAACCCCTGAGCACCCTCCGCAGGTGAATTGCTGCCTTGTATGCGGGCCTGGTGCTGCCAGAGGAAACCGATCTGCTTGAGGCGAGAGCCCCAAGTGGATGTCCCCCAGCTGTTTGTGTTCATTGTGTCTCATCGTGGTGGTGTTGTCGACCTGTCTCCACAACGTCTTCCTTTCTCTTCCCATTCGTGCCTTCATCAAAGGACTTTCCTCCGATTCTGAATACTTGTCTCTGTAGTAAGTATAGAGAGGCTGTTTACTAACTCACTCCAACTCTCGCAATGGGGGAGGGAGGACTTTTCAAAAGAAATACATTTCTCTCCATTTTTTTTTTTTGCAACTCACAACCCTGCCTTCGGGAGGTTTCCTGGCTATAAAATTCATGACCAATTCCACATGTGCTCTGCATGGACAAGGCTTCTCTGAAGGATATATACACATAGGACACGCCCATGCACAAACACACACCAGTACTCCGTGGCACGCCACCCAGAAGCAGCAAGGCCCACAGTGAACGGGCACTAGGGCCAGCTCCTGGGTACTCCCCGTGGTGAAGCGCTTACGGCCCTAGGGCACCTCTGCATCCCTATTCCCAATGCTCGGGCACCTCCAGGGAGCCCATGACCTCCTCAAAGGCTGTGGGCCAGAACCCAAATGACCTTGAGACCAACTGTCATATAGGGATGCACAGAGCACCCAGCTTGACTGATGTCTTCAGCATCCCTCAGGGCATGTGTACCTACTGCACGGAAGTCCGGGCTGGAGAAGAGGCTCGTGGCAGGAGTGGGATGAGGGCTGGCGATTCTGTTTTAGCTCCTAGGAGCCCCTTGAAGCAACCTCTGCTGCTCAGTGGGGCAGACGGCAGGAGGACTGTGAGATGGGTGGGATAACTGCTTACTCACCACCTGACATCATCCCCACTTCGGCAGGATCCTGCTTCTCTCTGGTACAGATCTGTGTCCCTGTAGGGAACACACCAAAGTTGCGTTGTTGGAAAACTGAAAGTCTTCACCCAAGACTCTTCCTGTAACACAGACAGAGCTGGGGAACACGGGCCTCCTCGGAGCAGACCCGACATGATGGGGCATAAGCTGTAGCTGCCTAAGGTGACCAGTGAGGAGTGGGGTTGGTGGCTTTGGCCGGCTGCCCAATGGCTTGCCCTGCTCCTCCAGGTGGACAGGGCTGACCCTCTGAGCAGCATCTGCGCTTTCACATTGAACACACTCATCGGATCAGGGCTGGGTTTTTCACTGTGTGGCACCATGCTCTCAGGTCCTCTGATGCTGAGTCACCTCAGCGTCTCGCCTCTTCGGTCTCCCTGACTCCTACTCTGTTAGCCTCTCTGAGGGAGAGTCTTTTAAATCCTCTTCCTTCACCTCTGACCATCTCTGTCATTGCCTTCTCTTTGACCAGCTCCTGACTGTCTTTGCCCCTGCCGACTCCATCCCCCAGTGAACCCTCAGGAGCACCAGCTACACCTGCAAAGAAGTCGCCCTGCACTTAACATCAGAAATCAGCTCTGCCACTTACTAAGTTAGCCATCTCAAATAAGTCCCTTCAAAACACTGCATAATGGAGGAACAACACAAACGCTTGCCCTTTCTAACTCACACCATTGTTATCAGGATAAAATGAGCTAAAAAATATAAGAGGACCTTATAATGTGCTTAGATAAATTAGTTCTCATCATGCACTATGTTCTCAGGATCGCAAGCAATTGCTGTTGTTAGCCCCTAAGTTTTGGGGTAGTTTGTTATCCAGCAATAGATAATTATTAAATCGTGGTGAATAGTAAAAACTAGTTTTATGGAAATTAGTTCTTCTGTGGGTTGACTGGGCTCAGCGGGATGGTTCTTCTGCTCCACTGATGTCAGCTGGGGCTGCAGTCATTTGGGAGCTTGACTCAACCGGAACTACAGAGATGGCGCATTCACATGTCAGGCGCCTTGGCAGTGGCAGCTGGAAGGCTAGGCTCAGCAGGGACACTGGGATGGCTGGGACTATCAATCATCTATCTCTCTGTCTATCATCTATCTATCATTATCTATCTATCTATCTATCTATCTATCTATCTATCTATCTATCTATCTATCATCTCTGTCTCTGTCTCCATCTCTGTCTCTCTCCATGTGGTTGTAGGGCCTCACCTAACAGGTTCCCTCCAAGCAGGATAAAGACCTGGAGTGGGGAGTGGGGCCCTGGCTGTTAGAACGGGCCAACCAGGTACCTTCCTTTTAGTGTTAATCCTTCTATCTTAGAAACACAGGGTTCCTGTCACTCAGGGATTCCATTCTCCTTCTTCCTTCCCCTCTCTGCCTACTGAGAAGATACCCTCCATTCTTACAAAGTTCCTCACTGGTGTAGGAAATGAAGTGAGAATGAAAACATGTATTGCCATAGTAGTGAAGCCAAACCAGTTATAATTCTTAGATGCCTCCAGTTGTATGTGACATGACGCCCCCTTCCTATAGTCTCTGTCCTTGCCTGTGTCTTTTCCCTTGTTCTATGCCTGGAAAAGCTTCGAGCTGGGCCCTAACTGGGCCTCCTGCCACGTTTGGACACCATTACCTGTTTGCTTTTATAGTCAAGAGCCCAGAATCCGACCTGGCACGGGCTCGTTCCCAGGGCAGGCTATGAAGAAGGGGTACAGGTTTGGATGAGACCCCTGCCTACCCTCTACCCCTGCAGTACAGCCTGCCATCCCACTGCTGCAGACTTACTTTGTAGAATTGCCTAGAAATGGCTCTTGTAACCCCAGGTAGAAGCTCTCACCTGAATGACATCTTATGGGTCATATCTTTTAATCTTTTTCCAGAAGATGCTAAGAAGACAGAAACGAACAAAGCCGCCACAGAGCCCGAAACAACACAGCCGGAAGGGGTGGTGGTCAACGGCAGGGAGGATGAGCAGACAGCAGAGGAAATTCTCAGCAAAGGCTTGAGCCAGATGACCACCAATGCCGACACGGATGTTGACGCCTCTAAGGACAAAACCGAGTCGGTCACCAGCGGCCCAATGTCCCCAGAGGGCTCACCTTCCAAGTCTCCCTCAAAGAAGAAAAAGAAATTCCGAACCCCATCTTTCCTGAAAAAGAGCAAAAAGAAGGAGAAAGTGGAGTCCTGATTCGTAGCACCCTGGAGCTCCCATGTGCGTCCTGTCTCCCCATGTCCCTTTCTCCCATCTCCGTCCCTGAAGCAAGGGGCCAAGGAGGGATAGAGTAGGACCCTGGACCACACTCTGAGGGGGACATAGAGATCGCCCGACCAACCCCTCATTTACAGTTGCCCCAGAGAAATCAGGCGACTTTCCCAAGGTTCCACAGTAGTTAGTGGTAGAGCCTGCACTAGAATCCAGGTCTCCTGGCTCCTAGTCCAGGGCTCTCTCCACTATACAACACTGCCTAGTTGTGGGCCACCTTCGTGAGGGTGCTGCCCACTGATCTGAGCCCCGGGCAAGAGGGCCAGAGTGGGCCACAAGCTCTCACAGGCTCAGACTAAATCAGGTCGAGGCTCCCCCTGAACAACGTCCTTTTCCTCACGGGAACCCAGCCTCCTCTGATGGAGCTATCACGATGTTTAGAAGTCTCTCTTCTCTTTTTCATAGGATCCCTGCCTTGCTGCTCGTACTAACCAAACAAACTGACCTGCCCCACCACCAGTTTATCTTTGTTCCCAAGGGCTGATGGCTTAGCTTGTGCTTCCCCAATCACTAACTCTGAGCTTTCTTCATGGAACCTCCTAAATGACAGATGGAAGAGTTGTAACAATTGGCACACATAAGGAAGGGCAAGCCAAGCCAGCCACAGAATGGGAGATAACTTCATCAATATAAGAAGCCAGGAACTTGACCCATTCAATTAGTGTATCTCAGGCGCTTCAAAAGTAAAACCAAATTTAGCTCAGAAAATAGTTGTCTCGTGCTCAGGACAGAAATTTGGGGAAATTTAGATCTTCTGTTGGCTTTAGGGTAAATGAGGAGGATGAAAAACAGCACAGGGAATGCTATGCTTTTCTAGCTTTGCATGACAGTAATGTGGCTCTACTCGTCTCACTCCTGTCCAGCAGTCAGGTGTCCCCTGACCTTCCCTCAAACCCAGGAGCACTGGCTCACAGAGTGGAACCGGCATCTTACCCTTGGCACCTTGACCTTGGCTTCTTTGGGTTCCAACTCAGTCATTCTGGGTCCAGCAGAGAATGAGATGAGCCCTTCGGGATTAATCAGAGAAATGCGTGGTTGTCCCCGGCCCTGTCACTGTCTGTTCATCCTGGGGCCTGGTAATAGCCACGGCTATTATTTTAAATGCCAACACTATATTTTCATATTCTTCCATGGGGCATTGTTTAATGAGCATTGTTGGCTCCTAAATAGACAATCCATTCTCTTTAAAGCACCACATCTTCAAAGGATATTTTCCCTTTCTGTCCTGATTATTGTAAAAGTATTTTTGAAAGTTTTTAATCATAGTTTTTCATGTTCGAGCACTTACTTACTATATATATATAGACACTGTGCAGGCTTTACTCACATTGTACCCTTTAACCCTCATGATAATCCTGTGATGTGGGGAAGATTATTCCCATTTTATGGGTAAGGAAACTGAGCCCCTAAAAGGATAATTAACTTTTCCCAAGTAACTTGGCTAGAGAGAGTCAAAGCCTGGATTTAACCCAAGTCACTCTGAGTCCAGAGCCTTTGCTCTTAACAGCTATGGTGATCAGAAAACGTTAATCCCCAAGGATGGTGGTTTCAGTCCAGGAACCATTTCCGTGGCTGATCTCCACTGTATAATGCAGCACTTGAAATGAAGTTAGGAAACTACCTGTGTTCTCTCTCATCAGTGCACGTTAAGTTCCTTGGTTAACGTGGACTGTGGCAAGGCCAGTGTGGACCTCTGACAAAGGAGAGGCAAGGGCCTTCTGGTTGGGGCAGGAAATATCATTCATTATTGGGCTATTTCTTGAGAAGGAAGGAAACTGACATATGACTACGGGAAACCCAGTGCTGTGTCTCTCTAGTGCAGATTCCCAACTGCTAACCCCTCCACCCTGCACCCCCCACACCCTGGCCCTTCTCCTTCTACCTTCTGATTCGGTCTTGTGCTGGACAGCCTGACAGTCAGGGGCACTGATGCCTCAGATAAGTCTGTGATATGAGAAATGCCTTTAAAAGCCAATCCTTTGATGCCTTCTTTTAAAAAGTGGATTTCACATTCATTTATTGATCCCTTCACAATATTTGTTAAGCACCCATTAAATGTCAGGCATTATACTGACATTAAAAGAAAATAATCATTGGGAATAGACTAATCAGTAGCAAGCAAGGTTAAGAGATTGGTGGAGTGGATACAACCATTTGTTTGTATCTAGTGTTTGAGTGGTTGTAGCTCAGAGATGATTTGATTAACTCTTTACATTCAACAAATTCTCTTCATTCCCTTTATAGCAATGAGGCCTCATTTAGGTGAAAATGCCAGAGCTTGCTGGAATTTGGGCGGCATCCTTGTAATTTATGCTATGGGCCCACCTCGTATTTATCCATTTGTTCATTATTCATGCATTTAAAAAATGTGAATGAGCATGCATCACGGGCTAGGCCTGGGGGCAGGACTTAGTCCCAGCCTGCGGGAAGTTCATAAGTAAAGGAGGCACATAGACAAGCGACAAAATGAGCAAGGGTGTAGAGGTGGCATGAGGAAGCAACGGTTTACTGTCTTCTGGGCCAGAGAAACCTTCCTGAAAGGAGTGATGGTTGAATTAGGTTTTCAAAACAGAGGAATTTTCCAAGAGGACAAAAGGGTTGGCAGAACATCCCGTGATGAGGAAAGAGCGTGTGCAAATGCACGGAAGCATGAAACTCGTTTCATGGGTGGGCAGGGCTGGTAGAAAGCATGGAGAGGCTAGACTTTATCGTGTCAGGGGGTTGGAGCTGCTGAGTCATGATCAGGCTTGGACTTTAGGAAAACTCTCATGGCTGAGTGGAAAATGGACTAAAGGAGTGGCCACATGGGAGACTGCCTCATAATGAGGCTTTTCTGAAACATCAGTGCTAAACCGGGTTCAGTGTCCTGCCTTACACTACATTTTCCTTTATTGCAAATAGTGAGCTTCCAACACAGAATTTATTTCCATTGAATTATTTGGATAAGGCCTCTTAAGAGATTTAGACAAGGAGAGCTAGTACTTAGAGTTTCCAATTCTGTTCTGACTAGTGTAGAGTTGCTGGGAGAACTTTTGAGTCACTTCTTCTTCCTGTGTACATGGTGGATGTGGCACGCTCAGCTCCAGCCTTGAGGCTGGACACTGGATGCGGTTGAGGTGTGTGGTCTAAACAGAGCCATGGGTTTTTAGGGTGACAGGAGGGGCCATTGTCTTTGGCTCTGGATAAAAGTAGGGTAAAAACTTGGACCAGTATCTGTCTGGAGAAAAAATATACATGGAGAGCTCAGAAATGGTAGGCAATGGGTTCATTTTGATCAAAGCCATCGTGCTTGGGTATGCTGCAGAAAAAGAACGAGAAAGTGGAACCAATCAGCTGTGCTGTGGCTGGCTGAGCCGGGAAGTGGAGAGGTTTATGAGGCTGTTCCACAGAAAGAGGGGCAGGGTAGGGAAGACATGGTTACAGAGAGACACGCCTGGTCCCAGTGACCCCCATGCACTGGTGGCTGGCACCCAGCAGTGGTGTGGGAGAACCATCTATACCACATGATCTTTCCTCAAACTTTGCAGAAAGCTCTGTCAAGTGGCAATCCCCAGCCCATGTGGGCTCCATTAGAGCCTCCTGGCTTGCAGGTGACCAAGAAACTCCAACTTTGGCCAGGTAATACACAGATTTTTTTTTTAAATCCTCCCTCGATATTCCTGTAATAAAAATGGGGTTCTTCCTCTGCAGATGATAAATTCTTTATAAAGAACATGGAGGGTTTGAATGAACCCCACTGGAAAGCATTGCTCTTATACCAGTGACATATATGATGAGCTTTGAATCCTGCTCCCTGTGTCTCATACTTTGTCACTCACTCCTGAGTGTAGCAAGACAGTCCCTCAGATGTCAGTTCAGCACTGTCATAACAGAGGATAGCTGCTTTTGTCAGCGTGGCAAGAAATTCTATAAAGCCACTTCTCTGATAGCATGGATTTGAAAGAATCATTTTCTCAAGAGCACAATTCACTTCTGCAAGTCTGAAAGATTAAAAAAGATTAAAAAGAAGCTTGGATTTTTCCATGCAGGTATGCATAGGGATAGCCCACCATCAGCCTGTGTGCCATCTTTTACATAAATATGAAATTTATGTTCTAGTTCCAGGCCAAGAGCATTCAGTTTCTGACTATCAAACAAATGGGAAAACATAATGCTTACTCGTTTCTCTCATGCGGGTCAGCAGAAGCCTCCGAGATGGCTGGCACAGTTGCAGTTGACTCTGAGCATAGAGGAAACAGGTCTTATATCTCTCACCACTTGAGTCCAAGCAAACTCTAACACAATAAAATTTGAAGAGTCTGAGAAGAAACGAGAGGGGATAAATCCATGCCCTTCACTCCCACAGAAAGGACAGGGCACCTCACAATTCAAAGCCTGATGGGACATCTTAGCGCCAGTCCCCATCTATTCTAAAAGAGACTCTAATGAAAATGCTCACTGGTTATTTATCTGCATAGGTCCACTTGAACCACAATACAAAAAGCATACACTGTAGAGCAATTATTTCCAAATGCCCTGCCTAACCAACCTATCCATTGGGGCAGGACACACCTTTTGCCAGAAATAAGAGCACACACATAGAAAGCTGTCACCAAGGCACACCCAACCCTCGTGAGCCTCTCACAGTGAGGAGCCTCCCTCGGAATCACCGTGGGGATTTCAGGTGGGGAGTCCTTTAGTGGAGAAGGTTTTCATTATTTTTATATAGACAGGCTTCCCTTTTTAGGAACGGAATACCCAGTTGGGGGTGTTCTTGAAAATATGGAAGTGATGGTTTGCATTGACTTGTACTTGGGTGGTATTTGGTTTTGTCAAATTGATATTTGGTGCCAGTTGCCTTTGAGATGTCCCCAAAAGTTGGGTTATGGCTTTGAGAAGTTGGGGCCTGAGGATGGGAGAGAAATGGTCACTATTATTGACACACGGAGGGACTCAGGTGTAGCCAGAGCCCGAGTGTGGGAAAGTACCAGCAGCTTTCCCAGCGTAGTCACCTCCTCGGCTCCTTGTCTCACCCCATTTCCCAGGCAGCAGAATGAGGCCCAATGTGATGTGGCAGGCCCCTGTCCCCATGTCCTGTAAAAAAAAATGTGAGAATTTAGTGGGGGGGGAGTAACTATAGAACAACCCTCTCCAGCAAATCATCTATAACTTGTAGAAGCTGAAAAGCCAGATCTTCCTTTTAAAGTGAATCAGAAGGAGGATGATAGTTGGATCAAGAAGAGAGGGACCACTTTTAAATACATCAGAGACTTTACAAAATGGGAATATATTTTTGGGGCCCCCCACCCCCACATTTCAACTCCACCTCATGCCTCTTGGGCCTGATTTGTGGGAGAGTGTCTGATCTCTGTGATCGGCCTCACCTTTAAATTCATGCAATCTCTGCTGCAGCCGCTGAGTCCCAAGGTCATTCCTTCCCAGAGGAAGAACTGGTGCAGAGCCTGGGCGGGCCCGGCCCGGCCACGGGGCCTGGATAGTGTGGTGTTCTCTAACGCTGTGAGTGGTTTTGGTGAAATGTCTGTGTCTGACAATCGTCTCCCTTGTACATACATTGTCTGTGTTCGTCCTAGTATTGTGAAGTTTCAAATAGGGGTTCCATGTAAATACTCTTTCTGCTACTGAAATGCCAGCCCCCCCCCCCGGATCACGCAGCAGCCTAAAGTTTCAAATAGGGGTTCCATGTAAATATTCTTTCTGCTACTGAAATGCCAGCCCCCCCGGATCACGCAGCAGCCCCACAAAAGTTTTCGCCTTTCTCTACGCTAACACTTTTTGAGCCACTGATGTGCAGATTGACGATTAGTTTCTTGGCCTTTTATTTTGCAATTTTATATATATAAAACACACATATTTAATATATATATATATATTTATGGGTTGGTTTTGTATAGTTTTCTGTTTGACTCTCTGAGCACCAAAGCTACCCTTGGATTTTCAAAGGAACGTTCCAAAGTCATTTCCTGATGCCCCACCTCTGCTTTGGTGTTCGTGGTGCCGGGTGGTACCTCTGCCCGTGGATTTCTGTATGTATGTGCTGTTATCTCACCTGCAGATATTACCCTAGTAAATCTACTGTGCTTGGCTTCCCAGTGTGTGACCCGTCTGTCAGCCGCCAGTTCTGCCAGCTGCCAGGAGAGCAGAAGCCAGAGAGGGGGTCCATGTACGGAAACATCCGACCACATCTTTATCCCTGAAACCATTTCTCACATGTGGAAAGCTGAGCATAGGAATCATTGGGTTCTGACTGGGGAGGGAGGCCAGCAAATGCTCCAGACCTCTGAGAAAGGAAAGGCTACAGAGGGTTTGCAAATGTCCTATGGAGGTTGGGGGAGGGGATTGTAAAGACAAACACAGGGACGTCCCATCAGAGAAGCAACAGAAACATTGTGGGGGTGTGTGGAATGGAAAGGGGTGTCAGACCAGAATCAGAGGGCTGGGGAGAGCTAAGCTGTCACCCCAAACAGAGAAGAACGGAAATACTAGGAGAGAAAGAAGAGGAAAAGCCCCCTCCCAGCTCTTGTGCTCTCAAATAAGGAGCCCAGGATTTTTTGCAGATCCACGCGCATAGGTCAGGCGTTATTTAAATATCTTTACATAGCACCTGGTTCAATCCCCATAAAACCAGGAGGGTGGTACTATTACTATTACCTACTTTACAGATGAGGAAACAGGCTCTGACATAGGAGATTTTCGTGGGTCACAGGTTAATATGTGGAGAAGCCCTAATTCAGGCTGTGGTCTTTTGGGTAATCAAACCCCTTACTCTTTCCACTGCTTCCCACTGCCCAAATGTCCTGAGCAGAGCTCCATAAACAGTCTCTATCATCACTCCTAGCGCGTTGCTTCCTGGTGACCATTTCCGCCAATGCTGCTTCCTACATCCAGGTACCCTGTAGCTCTGTGGGCTTCTGTGGACTTAGCCACAAGGAATCCAGGCCCTCCCCTGCCCCAAAGCCATCAGTCTCTCCTCTCCTGAAGTCACCAAGGAAACCACCTGTAAGCAACAGGACTGCTCTGCATTGTGCACAGCTGACTGCACTGATCAGGCCAGGGACCGTGGTTAGTGAGCCAACATCACTTTATAAAGCTCACTGCAGTGGAAGGTGGTGATGCAAACTCACAAGTTGAACTCTTCCTCCTCATCCTCCTGAATTTCCACTGCAAAGTCTAACAGAACACAAACGTGGGAGCAGAATACTCTCTACCTGCCGGAAATGCTGGGGAATTCTTCAGAGTATGTAAAGCCGGAGAGGAGTCTGGGACCAACCCGCAATTCACTGTGTGTGAATGGAGAGCCTGCCCGGAGAGGCTATGGAAAGGACCTGTAACTGACAGCAGTGAGGGAGCACCAGGGACACTGGGGAGATGTGGCGGGTGCTAGTCCTGGCCTCAGGAGCAGTGAGCAAGCTGTCAGGATTCACACTGTAGGAACCCTGTTTGCAAGGTCTAAGTAATAAGGCGGGCGTGGGGGTGAGGTGGGGGCGGGACAAGGGGCAGAGAAGGGTGCCATGACCCAAGCTGAGGCTGGCTATCCTAATACATATGAAAAAGGAAGCTGTCAGCCAAGTTATTGTGGATCCTACTGCTGCCACACAGATAACTGATCTGACAAAACGTAACCACTAGAAATAGAAATCTTTCCTTTTCTCTTCCTTTGAGGCTTTTTGGACAGGGAGCCACACATCTCTGACAGAAACCATCTTTCATCTCACAGAGATCTCACTCTGTAAAAAATAAGCATGGAGAAAAAACGTAATGATTTAGTAGTTCAAAAGCAGGAGGCCAGTCTGAGAAATTGGAAGACATGCTCCCCAGTGTTGCTGAGTCACCACACAAAGCAGGGGGAAGGCTTAGGATATCTCTGTTAATATTAATTTATCAAGAAAGATCATCGGCTTATAAAAAGGGAGCACTTTAAATCAAGAAAACTTATTTGAGGGGGCAGGGATTGATGAAAAACAATGTCATATGTTAAAATGAGGCATAGGGGGTCAATACCAGGTTGAGTATTATTGATGAATGACAAGAACATAAAAATATGTTTAGACATGTAAGGATCTAAATCCACCACTTGAAAAAAATTAGCCAATCATGTATCCAGTTGATTATGAAATCAATATAAGTAAATAATTTCAAGCCTGGGCAAGACATGGGATTAAAAAATGATAGTGAGTAATTATATCAAATAAGTTTATGGTTAAATCTAGTTTTTCACAGTTAATTTAACTACTTAATGTGTAAAAAGTAGTTATTGGAATCCACATGCATTTGCAGCAGCAGAGGCAAAACATACTAAATTTATCATTAATGAGAGAGGTCTAATAAATTATTTCATTTTTTAAAATTTTTAGAGAAATATTGGTTCAATCACATATAAAGTTGTGAACTTAGAAGTGATGTAGAAAATTTTAAAGAAAAGCTTCATTAAAAGGCAGTATAGCTTCCAAATCATTGAAGAGAAAAATAATAATAATAAATGAATCAATAGAAATCCAGATAAGATGAAATAACAGAGACCGCATTTACCATCCTGCCTAAAATAACCAAAAAAAAAAAGAATAAAATATATGAAACAATGATTTTTAAGACACTTGAAAACGATCACCCACCAGGACACAAGAAAATTTCCATGTCTTGCAGCCCACTTAACCTATTCAATCCTTCTACTGCCACTACCAAAGATTTCCACCAGGAGGCGACATTTCCTTCCTCTGCTTCTGCTTTGCAGAAACCATTCCAAGCCGGACTTGCTCCATTTTTTTAGCAAGCAGCCCCCAGTGGTGTTCTCATGGACCTTGGTCTATTTTTGTCACCATCAAAAGGACCAAGGGTGAGCAGTGAGCCTCCTTACTCACTCGAGACCTAAGAACCTATATGATTTCTGAGCAGCCCTTTATACTTATCTAATATCCAGTACTCTGCCTGGCTTTCAGAATCTCCATCTTTTGGGCAACCTGCAGAATAGTCTCAGCTCCTAAGGATCAGGTCTCCCTGTCAAGAGGCCATGCACCATAGTGAGCAGGGTTCCAGAGCTCTGGAGCCACAGTGCTTGGACTGAGTCCTGGCCCTGGGCTCACTTAACACTTTTGTGTTAAGTGAGTCCTTGGGCAAGTCACTTAACATTTCTAAGCTAGAGTTTCCACATCTGTGTCCTTGGGCAAGTCACTTAACACTTCTAAGCTATAGTTTCCACATCTGTAAAATGAGGGAATGATCAGTATGAGAAAAAGATTAGAATTTTGGGAGACCAATTTTTGGTGATTTAAGATTATTTTAATTTTGAATTATACAGTGGAAGATTCCATAAAATTTTTACTGCTAAAAGTTCACTTCTAAAAGTGAGCTTCTATAATTCTTAAAAATAATGCATGCACACACACACACACAGACATACCCACATCCCCATTATACCCCTTCACACATAACATATGCACAACCACACATCACACACACACACACACACACACACACACACACAAAGTCATACTCATGCAACCCTGGCATCTAACATACAACCACACATCACACACACACACACAGACACACACATCCACATCCACACACACACACACACACACACAG